ATGAGCACTCATGAAGACAAACAAACATACTATGGCTACATTATCTGCAGTAATTAAGTATCACGGATCAAATGAAGGAGACTTTTTGAAAGTTGGTGAACACTGACCAGCTGTTTCATTCTAGTCGGTATATTTACTGTCCATTCTGGGGTTAACTGACACGACTTATTTAGAGCGCACTCAAATGCATACACAAAAACTAACAATAATATTATATGAATTAGCTGTGTAAGCACATTATTATTATTATGGTCGCCTTGGGTTCTGAGCGGAACATTGGGCTTCAACAGCTACTCTACACTCCTTCCTATTCTATACACTCCTCGTTAGCTGACCTCACAATTGCTCATCTCATCTCTCATCTCCCTCCACCTAACACAATCTCCTCCATGTCACCCTCAAACACTCGTCCAACACACCGTTCCCTATTACGGTTCCACTCTAGCGATGACCGGGCACACGATGTCACGCGGCGGTCTCCTCCGAAAGGGTGTCCGGTCAATCTCCATCTTCAGAATATTCGCTGAGCAATAGGTCGTCGCTTGTTGATTGGTTCCCAGAATTGTGATTTCGCTAATTCTTTCTGCATGGCCATCTGATCTTCAGTGTGGAGGCAGTGAAGAGTCAGGTGTTGATGAAAGTTTGTAGTAGTGTCCATGATATGCGTGTCAGATGGTTAACCCATGAGAAACAGTGACTGACTGACTGACTGACTGACCGACTGACTGACTGAGTGACTTATCATTGGTGTTGAAAATGTGAGTTTTGTTGTTTATTCGGTGACTGAGTGAAGAAGATTTCCAAAGTTATTTCAGACTGATGAATGTGTGTCTTGCTTTTCCGATCCTGCCTTCGACATAGTGATTTGTGTGGAGTGACTGCATTCGAGACGATGTTTCGTTGACCAGTGAAGGAAGTTGTCTCCTTCGAATTTCCTCCCTTGATAGTGATTGATGTTTGTTGTTGTTTCTGTTGTTGTTGGTGGTGGTGTTGGTGATTGTTTGTTTGGTTGTTTGGTTGTGTTGTTTATCTTCATCGCCTCCATCTTGTCTATGTTGACTTGAAGTTCTGTGTTCACTGGAAGCCAGTTTTTTTATCGGTCAGGTTGTTGGTTTTCGCCTATAGATCTCTTAGTTTGTGTTGACACTGGACATGAATCGATGGTGAAATTCATATCTTCTGTGGCCTTCCTATGGTTCTCGTTGCTTCCACAAGGCGTTTGGCGTAGTCCAGTCCATCACAGTTATGAATAGCATTGGTGTCCACTGGCATATGTGTCTCACTACTCGTTTCACTTCAAAGTACTTTATAAAAGAATGATAATAATTGGAGAGTATACAGCTGATTATCGAACAACGTATCCATGTGTCATTACTAATCGCAATCAATCAAGAATTGACTGCAACGAAATAAGAGAGATTTCAGGATACTGGTTCGTTTACCATTCAGTCAGTGTGCTCAACACCTAACCCAGGCCAGTTCATGGATGCATGATGGTTAGCAGCCGTAGACTAGGATGGACCAGCTGTCCAATCCTGAATGATTTTCTATAAATCTCTAACTACTTCTCGTTTGTAACAATATATGCAGTAGAATTGTTCCAAACACATCGAAAAAGACAATATTTGAATTTTACGAAGTTTTTTTAAATGCAGTATATTTGGTAAAAATTTACTCTCATCTACCGTCTATATTTTTACTGTATGCACAGTAAATACAATAATCAGCTAAACGGGGACTGATTGATTTCGGAGTTGGTTTTAAAATGCACCAATTTTAATTTAATTTAAAGAACAATTGAAAGCAAAAATAGAAGTACTGGTAGCTGTTTCGTTCTATTTCAGGAGTGCTAGGCAGCTGTCTCTTCTTAGTTTGGGGCTTCTCGACCATATGCACTCACTAATATTCGAAAGAAGGACCTTCCAGTTACATTGAAATATTGTAAACGATTCAGCCAATGGTACCTTATCCAATGGCGAGGCCACGATTCCAAGCTTCTGCCGATTTTTGATATATAAAGAGCAGCCTCCAGCCAATGTCATCATCGACTAACTGACCTCTTACCTGACTTGTTAGATTCCGCTGCTTACGACTTCTCAGGGGCTACATGGGTTGGCCGGTGGATCAGGTCTCGGTGGTTGAAGTGTCCACAAGCTTGACATTTCACCGGAAAGTCCTGGATTCGAACCCCGGAGATGCGTCCTGCTGAAAAGTCCCAAACCAGAACAAGACGGCTGTCCAGTACTCCTAGGTCTTCCAACGGTTCTCTTAATGATAATCACTCGTGACCACGCAGGTAAATCACTTCTCCTAAAGCTTAAACTCATAGACGTAGACATCTGTAAATCAATCAAACTAAACTAGGCTTATTTATCTTTAGAAAATTTTTTAATTATAATGTGGTGCTTGTTCATCAAATAAATAAGATGAAGAAAGCACTGAAAAGTTAGACATGCTAATTAAAATGTTACATTTATAATACAAAGTTAAATTGAAGCGACAACAAACAATAAAAAAATGACTATTTTTAACAAGCAGTGAATTCTGTGTCTACAATTTAGCTAGTTAGATTAAAACCATGTATATTGTACAGAGTGGGAAACAAGAAGAGAACAAGTGAAGAGGAGCGCGAAAGAGAGGTGGTGGGTGTAGGAAGGATAGGCAGCAACAGCTGTCGTAACAACATTCACTAATTTTTCAAATGTTGTTTTTTTTAGAGATTGTCTTTGATTGGCTGAAGGATTTCATCATCAGCTGACATTAGTTAGAGAACCATTGGAAAGCCTGAAGGGAGGAGTACTGGAGAGTCGCTTCGTCCCAGTATGGATTTCTTCATCGGTATGCATCTACCGAGGTTCAAATTCATGGGCTAGTGGATATGATTGCAGCAGCTTAATGGCCTAGGAGCTCACCTTTTAACCAGAAGGTCATGGGTTCAAACTCCGGCAGGTTCATGCTGCTGAAGAGTCCCGAACTAAGACAAAAGAGCGATCCAGTACTCCTTGAAGGTTTTCCAGTGCTTCTCTAACTGATCTCAGCTCATGATGAAATTCTCCACCCAACATTCATTAAATAATGAAGTTCATTATATATATATATATATATATATATATATATATATATATATATATATATATATATATATATATATATATATTCACATACACATAACCCGCATATATGAAATGATCCCATTCTAAATTTGTTTATTTGTTCATGTGTATGAGAGACATAGCAATCAGAATCAACTCTCTGACTTTGAATAAATTCAACCATCTATATTCTTGATTTCAATAGTAATTTATTCTTTTCAAATCTCAAACGGATGGATTAGGAGGATTCGCTTCATCGGCTAAATGATGAAAATGTATCATCTGTCATAACTTTTCTGATCACACTGTCAACTGTAAGTTAAGATACAGTCATACTCAAAGCCTATAGACCCGAAATTGGGATGTCACAATTTCAATATGTGAGTATTTCACACAAGTGTTTATGTTGTTGATTAGCTTTCACGTAGACGATGTGAGAACCTCGTGAAAAACTCATGAAGGAGATTGCACAAGAAATTAAACAAGTGAACAATCAGTGGATGATGTGCTACACTATAAGGGCGGGGGGGGGGACAAATCACCTTAGAATTCGGTAGCAGATTAGTGCTGGTAACTTAATGCCGCTCACTGACGTGGATTGAGCAGTTCTAGAGTGCAGTCTACACAATGTATTTCTGTGAACCTTCGTGAGAAACTTATTATTAGCCGGTTGTTAGAGGAAAACCGCCATTGGGACGTTCATTTTTGTATTGATTGATTACTTTATTGTAGTCCTACAGGAGATTGATAGTAAGGTTGAATAGCTCAGTGGTAACGTCTCTGACTGCAGTACTGGACGACTCTGGGAAATGAGTTTCTTCAAGGATTGTACAAAAACCGACAGGCACAAACGTAAACCATCTGATAGCACTTATTTTTTGTTAGTGAGATTGATCGGAACACCCACAGATTGGCGGACTGATACTAACATAATAGGTGATAGTCAGAAATGAAGTGAAAATCTCAGTCGGTAAAAAGCTTGAACTGCCAGCCATTACAAGCAGTTTTTGACGAAAAGATATCTTGGCAGTAGCCCAATCTTCTCTGAACAAAGCTGATCATCTAGAACTCTTATACTTAAGGAAAAAACAAACACTGAATCCAATGAGTTTTCCCTCTTCCTAGGCGTTCCAACTAGGAAGCCTCAATGTATGAAGTGACATAAGCGTCGGCACCAGCATCACATTCATGCTTCCCTCTTCTCCAGCCAAAAATGGAAAATGCACTTCCCACATAGCTAGCTAGCATTCAACCATTTAGCCACTGTGACACAATTTCATGACTTCGAATCAACGAATCGGTTGTCATTATTGGTCTGTTACAAACTATATATGAAGTAAATCTCTTAATCATGTGCCGAATAACATTATTTCTGTTCATTTATAACATGTGTCGTTTTCCTGAAGTCACGTTCACACCTTTTGATTTTGAAGAAGTATTCACTACTTCTACTACGTATACGGATTGAGGGGCATTCACTGTCAACCAGGTGAGGCCGAATCTACATTAATTAACATCTCTCCCCACTAGCCTGCATTCTTCCTCATGATCCTATCACACTGATATATATATATATATATATATATATATATATATATATATATATATATATATATATATCAGATGACAATTACATGTACATAGTATATTTTATTCTATCTTAGAATTCATTGGTCAGATGCGTTTACCTCTTGAAAGTCGTCGGCAGTGTCATTTCATTTTTAATGAGTAGCTTTTATAGACAATTTGACGCAAAATGATGACTCTTTTTAAAATACGAAAGTAAATTATCCAACTGTGAACTAAACCAACACTCAGAATAGACACTTTTATTTACTGAATTCTATGAGGATTGATCATTCAGTTTTGTCTTTTTTCCTATCTGTATCACTTACTTTCTCCCCAAAGGTTTAAGTAAATTCGCTCGACTGGCTCGTTCAGTTACAAGAAATCGTTCAGTGCTACAACAGCTGTCAGTATCTCAAACATCTTCACAGAACACTGGCATGAGTTTATATCGAAGTAATAGGCTAACAGCATGTGGTGGGGGTGGAGGTGGGAGTGGTGGTGGTGCCGGCAGCGGTGGTACTGACAGTGATGGTGGTCAAGTGGAACAGTACGGTTCACCGGGTCTATCAAATTTTCAAAATCTCATCGCTAGTAACAGTTCACGATTTCATGACTCTTCAAGGTCAGATCCAGAAAAAGCTGCAATGGTGAGTGATTTTGTTTTTCTTTTTGCCATTTTTTTGTTGGTTAAACCGGGCATATTAATAATACTGTTAACTGACATAGAAGCTCTAAAGGCGGTCGGTTAGTTTTGCTTTTTGCCTGAGTTGATGACCATTCATTATTATGTCATGGCAAACCTATCCGCTGTGAAAAAAACATCAATCATTCAGTAATCATCGTGGATAAGGTGAAGATGTGTGACTCCACGAAGACACCTTTCTGGCTGAAGGTAATGCCTTGTCCATTGGAATAGAGAAGCCGTAGCTTTGTTCAAAGAAAAACTTTTTCAAGCATTTCTCCCTTCATATTTCTTATCTGCTTCTGTTACACTATTCATAACAAAAAACCTACTTCTTATGCGATATCATCACATTTTTCTGCTAAAATGTTTGTTTTGACGACGACGACAACAACAACAACCACAGCTCATTCTCTAAACAGCTTCTTACTATTACACATCGCTTAATCTATCAAAGAATTAGTGTTGCCTTGACTTCCAAGTGGAGCAGAACATCTTCACTTCACTCTGTTCTCTGGAGACATTTTTAGGTAATTTCGCTATCGACAATAAGCTCTAATTTCCTCCTAACATGATCTCCATGTCTAGTTTACTAGCCGATCTAAAGCGAAACGGATGTGTAACTACTGACACCAGCCTGGAAAGGCAAATCGAATTCAAATTCAGGTGATCAGTTCTATTTTAAAGCAATGAGTTCCCCGTATTCATTTTTTTAAAAAACAATGAGAAGACATTTATCTGAATAGTCTTATCTTTCTTTGCGCAACTTATTTCGGGCAATCTGATCATAGATGCGCTTGTCATATGAATAATAAAGGATAATAAAGTGTTAAGGGGTGAGAGAATAGACATGCGTCAAGCTGAAAGGCTATACTGAAAACTGTGGAATCCCAGTTGCAGCACATTTTAGCAGATTTCTGTATGGCGTACTCTAGAGAAGATATATCGATGACATTAAATCATAAGTGACAATTTTTGTTCTACTGTTGTGAGAACAGGCTGCTAGCCAATCGGTGGACATTAATTTACGTCAATGTCTAGGTCACTAATATTGGCCGTGAGAAAATATGAACAGGGCTGATTCAACAACCGATCACAGCAGACTTGACGTGGGAAAATAAGACTCGCAGATATATGGCTTAACTTTGCAAGAACCAGAAACAACCAATCAGAAGACAGTGTTTCTCTGCTTGAATAAGCTATAATAATGTACATGAAATATCTATAAATACGTGCTGATTTCCGTAATAAAACGATCTGTTGCCGGCCTTTGTCTTCTGTTGTTACACTACCAATTGAATTTTAAATCGAATGAATGAGGTTCAGAATGGCATATCACGTACATCTATAGAAGAGGAAGATAATTCATACATTTGGTTCCCTTGATAAATTTCGATAAAGAAAGGAGGACGAAATTTGCGGTATAAAATGATATCATTCTATTTCACAGGTTCTCATCAGCTGCAGACTACCTGAAATTACAATGCTTATATAGATGATAACAACATACTTTAATGTTCGAGTGGTGGTAGAAAAGAGATACTATAAAATTGACGCATCCAAAATGAAAGCAGCATTACAATTTTTTTAGTTTAAGTTTTCACCATCAATTTATACGCTTTTAAAGTTGAAAAGAGGGGGAGGAGTAAGAGAGAAAACAGAAAAATTGATTTACAGAACAGTGTTAGCTTTTAGGTTCACATAGCAACTCAAGAAACAAAAACGGTTACAGTTTATGAGATTAAGATTTGTTCAGTGAGTTGAGATCACTGAATTAGATGACTAATCAAAATCAAAATTCTGTTACCAAGGGAGTGAGAGGTTAATCACACTCTCTTTCTGTATGCATAAGTCTGGTTTAAGTCTTTTGATTGCGATTGCTTCGGCAAATCGTAGTAAATTTGCTGTCCTTTGTCTATTTAATATTTTGAAGGACTTAGAAATCTCTACGAGATGTCCGGTACCAATTGTTTATCTTTCCTAGATATTTTGCCTAGTTGACCACCTGGTGTATCTATACGACAATCGCTGCATAGAAAGCCTTCTTGGAGAGGATGGCATCTCAATCACCTCAGCTTCTCTCCTGTTCATTAGAAAAGAACCTTACTGAGGTGCAGAGGATGTACTTGAAGATGAGTAAGGGAAAGTAACGGCAACTCTTGCTGATAATAATTATCCAGAGGAGTTCATGAGGAGATAGATATAAAGGGGTCAGCACGTCAACACTAATTCTTCAACTTGCCGCTAAGAAGGGCATATACATCAAACTACCCTACATGGATGATCATACAAGCTTGGTAACTCTGCGGTTGAAAAGACCTATTATGCAGCTGAGATCTGGATAATTGAGAATATGAAGCCTAAATATCCATTTCAGCCCTTAGAACATATGAAAAATCATGTCACATCCCACTGTATCTACCAATATAAATGTGGGTGTCATCACACAAAATAGAAAGAACTAATAGGTCTTTGCAATTAAGGACATCAGAAGCAAACCGAATCACCTGAACCCATTAATGATGAAAAAATAACCTGATTCTTATATGTTGAGACATACTATAGAGACAGGACAGAAAATTGATGTTTACACCTCTCTTACACCTATCTATAAAACATGTTTGGGGCGTATCCTAAAGTGTATAGAAGCCCTAGCGATTAGCAAAATTGTACCACCTTTATGCGTTCATCAAAAACAATTTGTCATCACATTAAACTTTCTTTGGCAAAAACTTTGTTTTAATACCAGGGCGGATGTACTATTATCTCCCTTCTATGGTTTAGTGACCCCCGTTGTTATTTTGATCCTCAGTATTGCCTCTTAACTTGACCCTAATAACGCTTTATTATTATTTTCATTTATGTTCCTTTGGCAACCAAATGTGTATGATCAGATTATTTGAAGTATGTTGGGAAAATGCATTACACGATTTTAGACAAATTGCGTCTTCTTCTTCTTATTGTTTTGTAGAAATTAATTGTATAAATAATGTGCAACTGGATAGCTAGTTGTATTACACGAAATCTCCGAGAGGAATCTATTCGCTTAATATTGAGTTTGCCTTTTATAGTCGACTGATAGGCTTGAGAATATTTGTTGTTTAATGAATTGTGCTTAACTTGAGTGTAAGCGTTCATTCAAAATTTACTGAAATACGTACTTACGAGATGAGTTTTTAAAACAAAATTTGTTTGATGCTAACTAGAGTGATAACTAAACACCTGATGTCCAAACATTTTTTTAAAGATAAGATAATAGCCTTATTCCAAAACAGTACTTGTGATACAGAATGGAATTCTCAGCATTTTACTACAATATTGCATCCAGTTAGTACATTATCAATAAATAAAATTCTACTTAGATTAAGGTTATCTCAGTTAGTTTTGACAACAACATATTAGCATGTCGGTAGCAAAGCCAAAATTAAACAGAGTGTTATAAGGTGTTAGAAAAGTAGATACTACTAGCATATTTACTGGCGTAAGCGATAGCAAAATGGACGAGATATACAGAGAGTGAAAGAACGAACAAGAATGTTTTAAGTAGAGTTTGTAAGGAAGAGAGAAACAAAACAGCACATAAGAAAAATAAAGACAAAACAAAAGGTAGAGAGAAAGGAAAAGAGAGAAAACGTTGTACCTGTAAATGATGTGAGTTGGAAAGACGAGATCCATTTGTTCTACTGACTATTTAATAAGTTAAAGGTTTCCTATATAGGCTTCTGGTTTTCCCTGAAGAGATACAAGGGGAGAGTTGTGAATGTAGAAGGTGTTGTGAGTCAGATAAAATCGATTTCGCCCATTTTTTACATGAGTCCATGTGCCTGTCCACCAGAATATTAACAAGTTGGCTAAGTGGCACACCGCTTACCTTGCTGACAGTCAGTAGATGCCAGTGTTATCATATTTCGCCTATTCAGAAGTTTGACTATCTAGACATATAGTTCACTAAGCGTTGTGAAGATCTGGAAAAGTAGAAAAACCTGCAGGGGAATTGTACGAATTCACTACGGTTTCTGGTGAAGTACAAAACTATTCAGGCCACAGTGTGTGTGTGTGTGTGTGTTTGTATGTGTGATCTGCATGACACTGTAAATGCAAAACAAGAATGCAAGCACAACTGTAAAACTGTGTACATAATACTGATTAATTGATATGACATGATCGTTGTTCTTTATTATAACATCTAGTTTAACCATCTGCGATGTGAATCACTTTGTTGAATAGCCATCTGTGTTTACTATAATCCATGTGTATGTTAGTCGTAGCCTATGGTGATACAGTCTCAATTGGATAAGACTTACCTACTGAAGACGAGTTCTTTCAAAACATCTGTGTGCTAGATAAATGGGTTCTAGACTGCCCATAATGCACACATTAATGTTTCTGACACCAAGACAAATCTTTCTGAAATTTTGCTATATGTTTGCTATATATTAGCTTTATGCGACCTGCACATCGCTAAACTGGGTACTTCTGAACTTGGATTTATTTTTTGTGCAGGCTTAATTCTTTTGCAAAGTAAATGGTACAACTCAAATTACTGCTTCACTACTTTCGTTCCAAGGGGAACACCAAGCTCCAGGCTTTAAGCTTTGAAGTTTCATCACGGGTGTTGTCTTTACGAGGCGATATTGCTGGCCTAACTGTCAACTTCCCCTCTTTTCCGGTCTTACCACTGGTGAGACGAGATTTACGGGAATCTAACCTTTGGCCATCTATGTGTTTGGCGACTGTTCTTTCATTAAACCACATGACACACAACTCAACTACTGGCTGCAGACTTTTGTGTGATACGGAGCTCGAACACAGATCTCAATGACTCATAGTCAAGCGTACCCTACCAATAACACTGCTTCCTAATCAGATCATCAAAGTGGTCTAAACACATGCTTCTAACCTCCACTGATACAGACAATTGCAGCTGACGAAAACTCGACAGGTAGATAGCCAGCGAGAAGGACATCCACTGAAATTTTACTACATAGGTTTTTCTTCACTTCACTATCTCCCTCTCTCTCTCTGTGTGTGTAGAATAAATGAGGCATTAAATATTTTCAATCAATTAAAATTAATTTTAATAAACTTACTTTTGCTATTTTCACGGTACAAAGAGAAACAGGTGAAAATGAATTGAAAAAAAAACACGATATTTAAAACAGAGAAAACTGAAGAGAACAAACAGAAAAACGAAAATAAGTGTATGAACTGTTTCTTTCAACTCGCTTAACTTTCTGCTCTCTGTTTCACATACATGTCATCCAAGTATTTACCTATTTACTTATGAACACTTCCGGTCACCCGTCCTCATGGTAACCTAATTTAACAACACTTTTAAATTAGCCTCCGTGTTTATGCATATATGTATATGGACTAATCCGTCCGGATCACTGCGTGTGTTCATCTTTGTTGCATCAATAAACAGCGTACAAGTTTATTAATTAGGAACTGATTACTATTATTCAATTAGTTTTTGTAGTTGTCCCAGTCAAATAATTATAATTAATATACTGTATTGCCAGTCATTAAGTGAAATAACAGTGTTTTTTTTAATCATCCAGAAAGCACATGAGATGGATATATGCTGTAGCTAGTTATAGTAAGGGTGATTATGCTCTATTATGTATGCTATGCATACATGACAGGAATTCTTCTCCACCGGTACATTTTTTCTTACACACTTCATTAATCTTGGAAATGGGAAACAACTTCACTATATACACTTTCATGATTCTAACTAATTAATAGGCTCTCTCTCTGTCTCTCTAGTGAAGTATACTTCCGATTTCAGTTTAGTTAGTTCATAATGTGAGATAATTTAAAAAGTGAAATCAATGAATTATTGACCAGTTTATTATGTATGGCAGGAGTAAGACAAGGCTGAGCACTACTATCATCACTGATGAAGCGGCTGGTAGCGAAGATACGACTCCAGGTGAACATAAAGAAGACGCAGGTGGTGTAGACAACCAACCAACAGTTACAACAGGCAGCACGAATCACCATCAACGAAAGAGAGATTTGAAAGAGGCTACTTCCTTCATTTATTCATCCAAAAAGCGCGGTTTCAACAGGTGATTACAAAGCTAGCCAAAATCGGAAAGGCAAGATAGGCCTTCATCATCATGAAACCAGTTTGAATATTTTCTGCACTCCACATCAGCGTAAATGACAAGATTTAGATTTTCAATACAAATGTGAAGTCAGTTCTTTTATATGAGTGAGAAACTCGCACTGCTTGTCAGTCACGAAAAGGACTTGCAACACGTCACTGAAGACTGTTATCTATAGTTGTCATCGCTGGCTGGCTCCATACTGACGATCTAATGCCAGCCGGCCAGAAAGAATCGACAGCAAGAAATTCTAGCGGAGAACAAACCAACCTAAAGCCTATTGCTGAACATATATGTAGGAAAAAATGGAGATGAATCGGTGATACGTTGAGAAGGCCATCGAATGACATTGAGTACAATGCTGGCCATCAGTCGAGTGGAATCTTAATGGGGAGTGACGAGGGTGACATGGACGAGATCGTACTGGTAGGATATGAAAGACCGTGGTTAACTATAACACCGGCTGAAGAGAACAACGGGAAATAGAGGAAAGTGGAGATGTGTTGCTGAAGCCCTATATTCTACTCTGAACTAAAGGGAATGATAATATTATCCATTGTACCTCCTTCTCTGATATCACTTTCAGCTGGCATAATGAATACCTACAAGTTTTTTATTTCCTCTTCACTTGTTTTTTTCCCGTGTCACCTTCGGATGCGCAGATCTCTTGGGGGGTATGGCACACTTGATATGAAGCGAAAACTTATCCCCTACGTTATTATTCCTTCGTCTCCTTTGACAGGTGTATGAAAATAGACCGAAAGAAGCTAGAAGTTAGAATTCATGGGTCAATATGTCGGGTCCCAGTGGCTTTATGGTGTGCTGGCTCGCCTTGTAACCAGAAGATCCTGGGCCCGAACCCCATGGTGGGGGTGCGTACTGTGAAGAGTCACAGACAAAGACGAAACGGCTGGCTGTCTAACTGATGTCAGCTCATGATGAAATACTTGGGAAAAAAAAATCGAAAGATTGTTAGAAATGTGCCAGTGTACATTCTGCAACCCAAGGACATAATTCAGTGATTAAAACAAGACATGGAGGATTTCGATGAATTTAACGATGCTGTCAGCTAATAAAATACCAAATTATTATCCTAGATTCTACTTTTACCTGTCATGAGCTTACAATATTTGGAAAATTATTGAAAAGTTCAGAGATTCAGAGAGAGAGAGAGAGAGACCAGTCATTATGTCTGTTGTCAAGACTCTTCAGTGCTGTTAAAATAGTATCTTTCTGTGAAACCTTTACAGAATAATTCTGATTTTCGCATAGAAGAGCCAGAGTTTCTAAAGACTACTAACTTTTCGCTTCAGGAGGTGAAGTTTGGACTAATTTGAGATTAGGCTGGAATATGATCCAGGTTATGATGACATATTGCTGGCTAGCCTTTTCCTGTGCAAAATTCATTATTAGTATTTAACTTCGTTTCTATTTCTTCACTGAAATTGGTGAGCTGGTTTGGCTGGCTCAGTTTTCATCAGATAAAACTAAATGTTTCAACCAAACCTCGGATTTATATCAGTCAGTGAGACTTTTATCACACTGTTATGAGGAAGAGAAACTCTCAGCTGTCATTGATTCCCAATTGTCTAATAGAATAGTTTAAGTTTGAATTAAGTCATCAGCGCACTAGTAGACTTCCATGAGAAGTTTACTTTATACAGTTTGACAAATCTAACGAATTTCACTGGACATTAGTTAGTTACTGGTATCATTCATCTAGTCCTTTGCAATGTCGCCACCATCAAGTTAGGTGGCTCAATTATGACAGTGCACTATGAAATGCTGATATTAGATAGTTGGAGGAAACTTTCGACATAGATTTCGTACTCGCCGGCACTCGCCAGTTAGCAAGGAGTCTTGAAGGAACTCATGTGCCCCTGATATTCGAACCCGTGTCACCTGTTGAATGCTCTAGTTAGAGGCGTTACCACTGAGCTATTTGGGCTTGCGATTGGCCCCCTGTAGGACTGCATTGGATGCCTTAGATTGGATACTAGACGACAACTAGTCTAGTCTTTTGTTTGGTACAGACTCAGTTCACTATAAGTCAAGTTTTCAGATTCATAGACTTTCTGCTCATCAGAAGTAGTTCACCATTGAAGAACTGCTTGTTTCTTCTTTGTGAAACATCTTTATTCTTCTCTTCTGCCCGTTTCTCCTATTTTCTCTCTGTCTCTTTTTTCTTTTTTCTACAGTCCACATCTTCATGGATTGATTTAGTTCCACCGTATAAACAAGAAGCCCCAAAAACCCCACCTCATATCATATTACATTATGTTGCATTTAAAACTACCTGGGATTGGCTGATATTATTTTTAACCGGTTATACAGCTGTCATGGTACCATTCAATGCAGCATTTAAGAGTAAAACAATGGATGATGTCAGCTTTTTAGTTGTTGACAGTATTGTCGATGTGATATTTTTTATAGATATTGTACTTAACTTTCATACAACTTTTGTCGGTCCAAATGGTGAAGTGATATCCGATGCAACAATTATACGTATTAATTATTTAAAAGGATGGTTTATAGTCGATGTGTTATCCTGTCTACCGTATGATGTATTCAATGCATTTCAACCAGAAGCAACACAGGTAAGCTAAAATGGAATTTTATTGCCTTTTAATGCTATTAAAATTTTCATTATAATTAGCGTTGTATAACTCACCCACCATCCACTATGCGGGAAGATAGCCACTTACTGGTAAAACAGGAGAGTAATGTCAGAATCGTGATATCTAGTAAGTTACTCAGCTGTGAACTGCTGGTCGGACGACAACCATTTGTCATTGAGTGAAATATGGCAGTTGCGGTGTCGGTCTCACTCACTCCTTGTGAAACCTGCCTAGAAGAAAAAGCTAGTCAGTAAAATACAGTCTCTAAGGCGAATGAAATAAAATTTGTTTACTTCAGTGGATTTCTGAATTCAAAACTTTGACCTCAAGAGTAGCTGATTTCCCTTATTCATGCGGGGACATAGACTAAGATGAATCACTGTTTCTTTTTCTGCTGTTTTTGCCTATAACTTCTGAAAAGAAACGAACATCTGACAGGTTACTTGCCTGTCACAGCATATGGTGTAGCTTTTCTCTCGTCTTAATTCTAAAAAGCTTGTAAAGCTCTACACATTTTATAGACACTGAAGTTAGACTTTATCTGTATTCCTTTTTCAAGAATCGGTGGCCAATGAATAACCAGGGAAGTGGTTTTGGATTTCAGGGTGGCCGTCAATATTTGTGTATCAAGTAGCTAACTTTATCTTTAAGCTAAGTAAAACGATAATATTTTCTACTATACTAGTGTCAACTGTTAGTGGTCAAATAAAGTCAAAGAATACGTCTTGCTTCTTTGTTTTCGTAATAATTTGAGAAATGTGTATGACCGGGTGCGTCGGTGGTTCAGTAGTAGAACACTCATCAATCACGCACGTGGTCTGGGGTTCGATTCCCAGAAAACCCACTCATTTAACTTGCTAAGTCGATAGTAAGACTAGTAAAAATGGGAGGCTGGGTGTGAGGCTAACAACTCTATCCCGAAACTTCAAACCTCTAGCTTGAAACCCTGTGATCCACTGAGATCGTAAAAGGTAAAAATAAAAAGTAACTGACCACGTTAAAGTATGAATTCTGGTAGTCATAAGCATCAAGAGGTTAGTTTTCCGACAACAAACTCACCCTATCTCCTAGAGTAGTCTAAAAATCATCACCTGCAATACTAGATGAATCTAGCTTGAAAGATTTTCATACTGATTTTCAAGGACACATTTGCAACAGCGAAGAAGCTTTTCTTTTCAACGGATCTTATTTTTTCAGAAACTATACATACCTATTCACATTCAAGAGAATTTTCAATAAAATTAATGATTTACCGATATGTTACCAACAACTAACAGTTAATGTATAAGAGGTGTCTTTCTTGAAGAGGGAGCTATTGGAGTAAAACTTTAAAGCTACTTTCCAGTCTCACTGAGAATGGATGCAAATATCCGTGGATGATGAGTCCAGGCTGGGACGAAACGCACATTATGAATTTTATTACGACCAGCTAACACAGTATGAAATTGGAGTATATAAGATGCAGTTCAAGCATGGATAGTAAATTAGGTAGCTCAGTCACTCAAACTGTCCGCAGGGAAAATGCAATTAAACAGTGTCTGTAAAGATGATACATGCCTAACGGTTAATGACTATGTTATGAAGCATATCTTTTGCCATGTCTAGGAAGAACGGATTTTCTCGTTTTTCACTTTTTTTAAATAATACTAATAATATTTTTGATTACTTTAACAATATTCGAACAGATTAATTGATTAAATCACCTATTTTCGCCTTTCTTTTTGTTTAACAAAAATAAGAGTACAATTAGTTCATTATTTGGTGCATTAAAAGTTGTTAGATTATTAAGAATTGGTCGAGTTACACGTAAATTGGATCAATATTTAGAATATATGGCAGCTAGTTTATTATTAATGATATCTGGATTTGTATTACTTGCACACTGGTTAGCTTGTGTATGGTATAGTGTTGGTCAGACTGACTTGAAAAATGGTATTTATTATGGATGGATACCAAGATTATTGAATGATATTGATCAGGGAAAATCAATACCAACCAATTGGACAAGTGGCGTAAGTTTTGTTTGTGTAATTCAGTAAACGTTCTTTTGTTTTTGTTTTTATCCCCTTTATTCTCCAAGTGCTGGCATGAAGGGATTTCACTGCATTTAGTGTAGTACACTTTGGCAGTACTCACTGATGATCCCACTGGAGGTCGATGGCAGGAACCACAAGTTATGAAGCCAGCTCACTGAACACTCAGTCATTACGGTTGAATCGAATAATCTACAAGTTCTAACTGGAACATATAATGTCATCGTTAGCCGACGCTATTGAAGAGTATTTGTCCATGTACTCCACTTGGAGTTTGCTGCTAGTCACAGATTTTTACTTCAAACTCCGAGAGACTGATCTCCAAGTCATTCAACAGTCAACAGTGCTCTTTTAATTTCCAGTTGTTTGTTTGGAATGGTTCCATTGAGTTCTGATCAGATCATGAACTGACATCAGTTAGTGTTAGAGACCTCTTGTGAAAATCATCTGAGACAAAAATGTTTCATAAAACCGAAGGGAATTGGTCAGTTGTACATTATTAATCCAAATCATTACATTTATAAAAGCATAAATAAATGGAAGCAAAGCGAACTTCAAAATATTAAGATGAGTGAGTGAAGCGAACATGTTTACAGTCCTGTGAACCGGTGTGTTTCAGTCCTAGAATGCTTACCAGCCATGCACTTACTCGTGATTCGATTCTCGCCTGAGGTACTCTGAAATCTCGCCTAGTTTACTAGTTAATAGAAACTCCGGTAAGGTGAGGTTAGCACCCCTACCCCATATAACATACAACACCACTGGTACTGAAATTTCATAAACTTGAAGTCTTATGTTCCGTTCGGAACGGAAAAATAAAAAAACAGCCCAGATACTTGTTGATTTTTAATATACCAACGACCTCCGACGAGCGACCAACATCTCTGTTTACATCTCAACAGAACCATGTTTTCTACACTGATACAGATTTAATCAACAGTACCTGTATGGGAGTGCAGTGATTCGGAATATCATGGGTGACCAAGACATCTATGAAACAAGGGAGGATTTTCTTAAATGTTTATTTTACCTAGTAGCTTTGATCGCTTTCCGAAAGCAGTATAACTAATCTCACTGAAAACACAACTTTAAGACAGACGAATCCCCTATGAACCTGAGCTATCTATAACAGGAGTGAATCATAAAGTTTCAGTAACAGCACTCCAAACCCCGCCCCCTTATTTACCACTAAAGAATATGAAAACGAAGATATGAGTTCAGGGAACAGTCTAAAATTCAAAAAGTCTTTGATTTCTTTACTTCCCCAGTGGAACATAGGGCTTCAAGCTAGAGGCTTGAGGTTTCAGTAGCAGTGGTGTTTAATTTTACGTGATGGGGTTGGTATCCACTTGCCCAACCTTCCCTGTGTACCAGTTTTATCACTGGCTTAGCGAAGTTTAGGAGTGCTTCGTCCAAGGATCAGCCCCCAGATTGGGGAGCGTCTTATCGCTGAACCACAGACGCACATGCTACAAAATAATGATGAATAATGTATTAACCAAAAGATCCAGCAGTGAAAGGAGACAATATCAACATCAGCCATAGAGTCTACTGCACCGACTGAGAAAAACACTATATTGGCCAAAGCGGATATCCCATACCTCCATTTACCTGTAATCACTAACTAACAGTTAAAAGACGTAACATGCAACGGGCCATAAAAATCACGTGGATAACTACGGCTTCCAATTTAACTGGGAAAATCTTAGACGGAGGGAATACAAAGAATGTCAGAGACATTTCTAGATACGTGGTACTCAGGTCAGTATGAAATCAATAAACCCGTTAAAATTTACCGAATTCGTTGATCAATAAGAAATGGTTCAAAAGATTGAAAGATCATCATCACTGCCGATACAAGTGGATATGAGCATAAGGAGATTCGGTGGGAGCACAGTGAACAACTTCATCAGGAGAAACAAACAATATTTTATCCACATAGAATTCCCACAGTTTAGTTAATACTAAATTCAACTCTGAAGACATTGTCCACTAGGCCAATAAGTTTTCCGCAATTTAAGCCTCCAGTTACACAGGAAACAAAACCACTGACAAGTGGTGGTAATAGTCTTTCAAAACGGTACAATTGGTTAGGCGTATATTTCATATTCAAACTTTATGTGAAGCAAATAGAAACAAATTTTGGTGACTTTATTATCCATTTATTATTGACTGGCCATCATATTTAGCCTATAAAGGTGAAAATTATTATTATAAATTCAAGAATCAGTATATTGGTCCGCGAGTCAGTCAGCCATTCAGCCGTTCATTCGGTGAAATGCTAACTGACACCCAACGGATTAGTTAAGTTGGTAAAACCTGTATTATCCTGATTACTAGAGTGAAACAGTTTTTCGGAATACTGCTTTCTCCTCGGTATGCTTTAGACGCAACACTAAAAACACGTAGGCAGCCGACATTTATACTTTGTATGACCGAAGTTAAACTTGCCTACGCATTGATTTATTATTATTCAAGGTACAAGAAGCTGATGTTTGTTAACACTGATATACAGACTAAAAACTGTGTAAAACATAAACGTGTATCACTCGGATTTGACCAAGATTCATCTTACTTGAAGTCAGTGGTTAGCGCGCCTGACGAGAAAAGTCTTTAGGGTAAAGCTGCAACTTCAAACCTAAACATGACGCATCCATCATACAGAGTTACAGAAAATTTTCAATTATTGGAGGTTAATCAACATTTTTTCTTCAAATCAATTAAGTCTCGTGTGTATGTATGAATGTAGCCTTTCTGGTGCGTCTCGTAGGTCAGTGAAATAGGGAGGCTTTGGAGTTCGCAATCGATTCTTCTAATATTACAGAGGTGTAAAATGATCCTGTGTTTGTTTGAATATTGTAAGCGAGTCACATACACATACAGGTTATGACCACAGTTATAACTAGTAATGCAAGGATTATATAACGAGAGAATACTGTTTTCTAAGAGAATACGGTTTGGTCACAGGATTTCATCATGAGCTGACATCAGTTAGAGAACCATTGGAAAACCTGCAGGGAGTACTGGACAGCTGTTTCCTCGGTCCTAGTTCGAGACTCTTCAGCGGCAGATTTTCCAATGGTTCTCTAACCAATGTCAGCTCATGATGAAATCCTGTAACCAAGCAAATCCCTACAAACCAACACTAGAATACAGTTTAATAAAACCTCTACTTAGATCATTCTGACTGATTTTGTATACTGCAAGATACCAATAATAATAGGCTTCATGTGGTTTTTGACACTTCCTTTTATACTGAAGAAGAATCCTCCAAATGACGTTGTTATTTCCACTGAGACTCGAACCTCAAACCTCCATTTTCCGAAGCCAAAGATTTGCCCGCTAGGCTGGTGAATCCGGCTTAGGAGTCCCGAATAGGATGAAATACACATCCTGGGCACCCCAGCCAAAATGACATTGTGTTATTCCTCAGATATCAAGAAAATAACACATTACTAGGAGCCGACATGTTAACAGAGACCAAGCATAATCAAGCGAAAAGTCAAGGAAAAACGTCTAGAAATGCCAAAACGCCTTAAAATATGACTTGATTAAATAAATAGCAAATACATTCAGACAGCCAAAGGGAATAATAATAATAATGAGTTTTCTTGATGGGTGTTTAGCATTTCAGTCATGAGATGAAGACTGCTGAGAGATGATATCATCGCATAGTCGTTTTTCAAGTTGCCTGATTAAAAATGTCATTAACAATAAAAATAACAATAGTGGAGATTAATTAGTTGAAAGAAAACAGCATTTGTCCAGCCCTGGACTGCTTGACGAATTGGAATATTTTTTCCGATAAATTTGTCATCAGATTCTACAATTATATGAGCGTAATAATTACAGAATTTATTCTTATTAACAGCATCAATGCTTTAAATTATATTTAATCAATAATATCGATAGGTGATTACATTTAAAAAGCCTCTGTAAGTATCGTAAAAAGCATTAATTTTACACTAAACTGAGTGTCCAATAAGTTAAAGAAAGTAACATAGAAATTATGAATTTATAGGTTCGATAGGAAGTCGCGATAACACAAGTGCGTGCCACTACTTCTTTTGCACAACAGAACTCTGGATGATTTAAACTAAATTGCAGTGGCCTCCGCTGTTTGGAGTGTTCAGTATATAGTGGCCTTTAGTAATTTATTCAATCCCCCATAGACAATAGGCAAAGACACTTCAATTCTAGCTTTGTGATCCAGTGCTATGATATCGAACCACTGGTGATTTTTACGGAACCCTTGTTTTAGTCACACTGGTAGGTGTTCCTGAGAATGTAAAATTAGGTTCCTAGAGCAGTGGCTAATACAACTGACTGGAGAACAGGAGCAGTTGAACTGGTAGATACAAGATAAGGTGGCTAGCCTAGTCATCATTTCATCTCTCAGTCTCAGAATCACAACCAGTTGTGTGGAGAATAGAAGCTTCAGTTTGACCAGAATTAAATGTTCTTTGAGTCGACTTTCTCGACTTGTTGATATATTACCGTTGAACTGTAGTCGTATGTATGGAAACTTCATGTTAGCATATACAGAAGAATTCTTTTCTGCTTTCTTGGCTAAATGTTTTGTGATGAAGTTTTCAGTGTAGCTGTTGTCAGTTAACGCATGGTATACGACTTTGAATTCGTCTTTACTCGCGTCTTCTCAATAAGTAGCTCTGACTCTATAGCTGAGTGTGTTTACTAAACTTCTCTTATACCAGAGAGGAACAAATTCGATTTTTATGCTACCGTCTGATCTTCCTGTCATTAGGACTTCGAAAAATCAATTTTACCTCGGGCTTCCTCTTCACACATGAAGCCGATAGCTGAATTGAGATATATTGTTGTGTTCCTGTCTAAATCATTTCCTGAAAAAATAAAGGTATCACCAATATACTAGTAATAAAATGAGAATTTCCTGATAAGGTTGTTTGAAGGATCATTTTCTAGTTAAACTCAGAAAAATAAATCTGCCAACAAGAGGAACAGTGGAGAGCCTATCACCACCCCACCCACGTGTCTTTAGAGTCCATCATCAAACTCAAAATTCACAGGTTTATGTACTCTGGGTAGGAAAATGTAGAATCTGATGACAAATTTATTTCGAAAAGAATATTCTTTGTCCATTAATCACTCCTTGAAATTAGTAGTACTAGACAATAGTTTCGTCTTTATTTTGGGACTCTTCATCGGGAATGTTTATTACGTTTTGAACATCTATCCTGGGACTCTGGCACAGTATACATTCGGAGGATTTCGAACACAGGACCTCCAGGTTGAAAAAAAAGTTCTCCTAGACCATTTAGTTACCGAAACCAGATCAAATGGTCCATGAATTGCATCTCCTACCATTTCTCAATATGTAGCGCAAATACCAGCCATTGTCACTAGGAAGGAAACTGACAAACTTAGTGGATCCTGGTGGTCGCAAATTTTCACTAGAACTCCAGGTGACTTCCTGCACAGAGCCAATCGCTAGTGACGATCACTGCTGGTTAGAAAAATAGTAACACTTAAGCATAACTTGGAAACTATTTGGAGTTGTTCAAAACTATAGACCTACGGCTTAAGGAGGACCGCTGAACACACTAACCAAGAGAATGGGGTTTTATTATTCAGCATTGCAGTTAGTAATGCATCCGGTGACGCTGCTCACACACATACAAAATTGTGGGATTAAGTAACAGTCTTAAATTCGTATATAGTAGGATATTAAAAGAGTCTGATAACCGAAGTCTTCTTTATTGGAACACTTGGGAGAATGTGCTATGATTTAGCAGTTCCAGAGATTTCTGGATTGAATTTGAAAGACGTTGATTTCTTCATTTATCTGAGAAGCATCGTCTCAACCACAGACGCGTCCCATGGATGACGGTGTTAAAACGAGAATCCGAAAGGCAAAACAGACATTCATCTTCTGCACTCCGCTGAAGTATAAACAATAAATTCCGATTTTGATTGGACACCAGTGTTTGCTTAGTCAGTCACTATTTTTATATGGATAAAAAACCTGGTGGGCTTATCACGTAAAGCATCCCCAACAGCTGCTTCCACAAGCTCCATACTGAAGATCAGATAGCCAATCAGAAGGAATTAATAACAAGAAACTTGGCGAACGAACCAACCAAGAAGTCATTGCTCAAGAAATATGTAGACACACTCTGAGGAGACCCATAATTAAAGTCAAGCGTCTGGTCCTCAAGTGGAATCCAAATAGTGAACGACGAGTTGGGCATGTGGCTGAGGGCGACATGGAAAAAGTCATTTGAGGAGGAGGTGAGAGCTTATGTGGAATCTTGGCGTCAGATAGCGAGGACTGTATAGAACAGGACGAAGTGAGGATGTACTGTTGAAACTGAATGTTTCACTCTGAAAGCAAGGGAATGATAATATAATAATATGGTTTTGTAGTATCCGTAATGTGAACGCAAGAAAAGTAATATCATCCAGTCAATAATGCTATCTCACTCTTCGCGGTACACATATCCAATAAACAAGGTAATATGAAAGGTCATGAATTGACAGAAGTTGGAATTCATGCACTGGCCGGTAACTGGATCGAGTCCCAGTGGCTTAATGGTCTACGAGCTAACCCTGGCGGTGGGTGCGTACTGATGAAAAGTCACAAACGAGGACCGGGGAAACAGATGTCCAGTACTCCCTACAGGTTTTCCAATGGTTCTCTAACTGATGGCAGCTCATGATGAAATCCTCCAACTAATGTGAAATAAGACGAAGCCAAAGTGTGGCAACATTTTGAAAATTCGCATTGGTCATCAATGATACTGTTTTTCTCAGCTGCTTGAGCTATCGACGTCTTCCGTCTGTTTTCTTATTTATTTTGTTAAAAACAATGCAGAATACTGTAAAACTATTCTACCCTACCCTAGCCTTCCATACCCCACCTCAACCCCACAGAAGATAAGTTGGCAACTGTTCTGTGAAACCGGAAAAATAGAAATCTCTATCAGTTCATAATTCACCTAAATTAATTAAGTTCCTTTTGATGTGGTTTTGTTCTCTGAGCTGGATGGTTAGTTTGCGAAGCTTTCATCACCTTACTGGGTGACATCTTCAGCGCATACTTCAATCTGTTGAAGTCAGCTTTTAGATTCCTCCACGAGTTTATTAATCATCTCTCCTGGTCGGTGACCTTGGACGTGATTGGTCGTTTGTGTGTGTTTTCACACCTTCTAGGTTACTTGTATTGGAACTGATTGTTTCTTTGACTTGAACTTTGACCCTTTGTGTATGAAGTTTCTTTCTTATTGGTTGATAAATTTTGTCTATCTCGATGTGTCTATTGATTGATGATCCACTGGAATACCAGGCTGCTTCTAAAAATTCTCTAGCATTCTTGTTATTTCCTTTGTCTAATATTTGAACGTTGTCCCAGTCGAATTGATGTCCGCGGTTGTCTGTGTGTAGTGAAATGAGGGAGTGGATATCATGTCTTTTGACGGCTAGCTTATGTTCGTGGATACGAAGACGAAGGGGACGTCCACTTTGGCCAATGTAGTGTTTTTCGCAGCTGTTACAATTTATTTTGTAGATGATGTTGGTTTTGTCTTCTTTCGCTGTTGAGTCTTTTGGTTGACATAGAATTGAGTGAAGCGACTTTCTTGGTTTGTGTACGACGTCAATTCCTAAAGGTTTGAAGAGTCTTGTAGTGATTTCTGAGATATCGTTTATATATGGTAAGGCGAATTTCTTTGTGCTTTCCTTGGTGGCTTTTGCTTTGGTAGGTTGGTTTGGGGGTATATGTCTCTTGATGAAATTCCGTGGATATCCATTGTTTTTAAGACGTCCATGAGATATCTCTCTTTAATTTCCTTTTAGGTGGAAATGGTGCAATGGGTCCTTGCCATCTTGAATAATATTTGTATGCAATTCCTTTTTGTGTATTATTGTATGGTTGCTGTTGTAATTCAGGATTTGGTATGTGTGAGTTGAATCAACTCAACAAATAACAAGAATGCTAGAGAATTTTTAGAAGCCAGCCTGGTATTCCAGTGGATCATCAATCAATAGACACATCGAGATAGACAAAATTTATCAACCAATAAGAAAGAAACTTCATACACAAAGGGTCAAAGTTCAAGTCAAAGAAACAATCAGTTCCAATACAAGTAACCTAGAAGGTGTGAAAACACACACAAACGACCAATCACGTCCAAGGTCACCGACCAGGAGAGATGATTAATAAACTCGTGGAGGAATCTAAAAGCTGACTTCAACAGATTGAAGTATGCGCTGAAGATGTCACCCAGTAAGGTGATGAAAGCTTCGCAAACTAACCATCCAGCTCAGAGAACAAAACCACATCAAAATCATCCACCTGAGCTACAAATCTTCTCTATCATATCTAATTACGTTCAATTTTGAAAATCACTGACATTTACACAACCTCGGAGTCTTTTCAGAATTTTTCTTATGAACTCCTGTATACCCCACCCTACCGGGTTTGATATATATATATATATATATATATATTAGTGTTATAGTCAAAAAGTGATTAGTGTGTGTTCTCATTGTTGTATCGTTTTGTCAGAGTTAAAATTTAACACAACACATTACTGTTATGCGTTCACTGTTTCAATGACCTGAATAACCTAGATATTAATTCAGACACAAAGAAATGTGTCATTTACAGTTTCGGCTTAGTTCGTGTTTATTATACTTATATTTAAATGTTTCCTTTGAGAAATTAATGTTTTTAAATAGTGTTCTGGTTCTTTTCCTCTCATTTTTTAAGAGAAATAAAAAAAAGACATTCTGTTTATTATTCTCATTGTTTTATGTGCGTGTGTGTGTGTGTATGTGTTGTAGAATCCTCCACTTCCGCGGACAATGACTTATGTAACATCCCTGTACTTTACATTATCCCTCATTACAAGTATCGGTTTTGGTAATGTATCAGCTACAACATTCGGTGAGAAATTGGTTGCTGCTGTTTTTATGCTTATAGGAGGTGAGTTATGCTGGTATCTTTTGTGAAGGAGTCTTTATTGATCTATCTGTCTTTCTCTGTGTCTATCAGCTGTATAAATAATCATAGGAACAAAATAAGGTTAGCAGTTGAAATGACAAAAATAATAAATAAAAAAAATGTAGAATCCAAAGCCTCTATAGTATTGCTCTGTATAGCGAAGGAACATCAAAGGCCCTATGTAGGATTCTGAATGAGGCTGGAATCAGTTATATCAGCATTTAAACCAACCAACCAACCAACCAACTCTCTCAGAGATCAACTTTGTTGACTAATTAAGGAATGCCATGCATCCAGTTAAGATAAAGTACATGATATACTAAATATCATATATTGACAGGTTGCAGACTTTTATGAACAGCTACCCACTCCAATAGCTTCATACACTGAAGACCAAATGGCCACCTGACCAGAAGGAATTAATAACAACAAACTCTGGCGAAGAACAAACCAACCTAGAGCCTGTTTCTCAACATATGTGAAGGGAAAAATGGAGATGAATAGCACACACGTTGAATAGGGCCATCGAATGACATTGTGCTCAATGCTGGCCATCGGTCTAGGTGAATCTTAATGAGAAGCGACGAGAGTGACATGGAGGAGATCGTGCCAGTAGGAGATGAGAGACTATGGTTAATCATGAAACCAGCTGAAGAGAGAATAGTGGGAAAAGGAGAAAAAAAGTGGGGACTTGTTGTTGAAGCCATATATTCCATTTGGAGTTCAAGGGAATAATAATAATAATAATGTACTTACTGTGAGTTCAGTTAAACATTTTAGCTATACCTAAAATGATTATTGATCGTGTTAAGCTAAATAACCCAGAAAAGGCTAGATTCACTTGCATTTAATCACAAAATAGGGTGGGACAGAGTTAGTTAGATTATTATTCACTATTACTATTGTTTAACACTTTAACCAACACATTCGAGGAATATGTAGAAGGACTGAACACTTTCGCTGAGAAGACTTTCAATTGACACAATATGTCATGATGTTTGAATGGAATTAAAATTGCAAGCAACAGATTGAGCTTTGGTTCAATGGTGACATACTGAAAATCATGTGAGCAGGAGACTAAAGTTTATGGATGGTTGTGGAACCAGTCGGAAATTATCATTGCAGAGGAACCGATGGAATGAAATTCCACTTACTTCTTACTTCTCAAGTCATATTTTCCTTTGGTTACTCAAGTTCTGAGTAAATAATAATGACACCTCAAATGTATATCAAACATTCCTCTGGTTGTACCGTACTGTACTACGGGTACCCTTCAGTCACAAATATGGGGGAGTTTAAAATAGTATTTGATGCTAGTGAGATTCAAATCGGCTCAATTTGTTGCTACAGTAAGCGTCACGATTTATCCTTCGATTTTAATTAAACTTTTAGGTAAATACTGCTGTGGTGGTGGGATACAGACAATGTGTGTCAACGGAATATTATTCTCACATATTCCCACAGTTCAATACTGCATACAATATATCTATTTAAACATTCTATTTGATGTTATATATATATATATATATATATATATATATATATATATATATATATATATATATATATATATATATATATAACATGACAGTATTCTATAACTATCGTTGAAGTAACCAGCACATCCCGGATAGTCTATACACCTCATTTTTCAAGATTTTTATGCAAGAATTAAAACATTTAATCTAAGAGTTATATGCAATACGTAGTACAGAATTCTAAAACAACCAATCTAGTCCAGTGTGAACGTTAGATTGGTTAAAAAAGTAGTGCAGATCGCCAGACCTTTCAAAATCTTTGCATCAACCACTGGCGACATAACATCTGGTCTTACCTCAAACGTTCATCGTTCTAGTTGCTCACACAATACCAATCAACTCCCAGAGATGAAACCTTCATCATCCTGCTTGGTATTTCGTCCTTATAAGCAAAACCGATGCCAAAACCGTAATAATGTTTGACACAAAGATAATCTTAGCCAGCAACACACACAACGACATTCTTAATGGCTATCCTTGACAATTTACTGAAGACGCTGTCACCAGTCAACACCTGTCTGCCAAATATTCGTCAGTGTTCTGTCTCTACGTTCCAAAGGTGGTGCTAGACCATTACCACAACTCCTCACCAAACTCTCCCGTCTCGAACAACAAGTTGTTCTCAAGCGCACTACAGCTTTTCACTCTCTGATCGGGAGGAGGCCACAAATGCACCATATCTCCAGTAAACATTAGATCACTCCTTCGGCGTCCGCCAACCAGGTGCAAAAAATAGATGGTGCGGTCCCAAGTTGACCCCAAGTAATACGTCTCTTCTAAAAAGGGAGGCCATATGGTGGCTGGTTTCCAGTATAGGAAATGAACCAATCAGAATCGAGTTACCTAAAATAACGCCCACCATTCTATCGATCATGATTACAGACTAATTGACATATCCTTGGTGATATTTTGAATCATACATTATTACTACGTGAAATATACTTTTCGGCTCAAATCATTGTATGTCCTTGTTTGATTAGTGTGGGCTTCGAGTTACTGCAGCCGTTACCATTCGAAAAGCGACGCCTGAATAATGAATTCATGATGACTTTTACGAAAAAAAAGCTTTCACCTATTTTACTATTGATATTTATTTCTTGTTTCCTTTTCTCCTTTCCTCATGCTTCAAGCGTTTGGTTATGCTACAATTTTTGGTAATGTAACAACAATATTTCAAGGAATGTATGCCACACGATCACGATATCATGATATGATGGCGTCAGTGAAAGATTTCATTAAAACGCACAGTGTTCCAAAAGATCTAGCTGAACGTGTAATTGATTATGTGACGTCGACATGGGCGATAACAAAAGGAATAGACACAGCCAAGGTGAGTTAAACTGTTTTGGCGACAGTGAAGTTGATTCTGACTGTTAAAAAAAATAAAGATGATAAATTGTAGTCATCAGCCAACCGACTGCTATTTCCAACTGATTACTGCTGATTAAAAATAACTCCTCCAAATCATTTACTTTTTAATAAATAGTAAGCACTAATGAATTACCTTGGGGATTTTTAAATGGTATGCCTGGATCAGTTATGCAAAAAAAAAAATAGAAACACCTGTGCACTACCATCCTTTCAGATGCTTATAGGGCAAACATAAAGAATAGCGACCATGGAATAAAAACGTGGGAGTGCCTTTGAAACGACCAATGAGTGCAAGCCGTGATTTTCTCACGGAAAAGCGGTTTATTTACGAGAAAAATGTACATAACTGCAATGAAACACATTGAAGATGATATTTTACACTGGCGTAAGCAAGAAATACTTCGCGATTACAATCGGAAGGGCTGGGGGCGGTGCGGTATCAGTTTTTGAGCTTCATATTTATCAAATCAGTTTTCTCTGTGTGATTAACAACCCCGTCCAGTCGCATTTATTTATTTACAATGGAAATATAGATAATAATAATAATAATAACAGTAGTGAAACACTCTGACCCTAACCACAACTTTAACGCACTATCCACCCATTGTGCAAACAGTACTTAAAAACGTGATCAAGACGAAATCTGCATCTCATTTTGTAAACACCGTTCACATACTGGCACTGTAATAACGGTAGGCTCTGTAATCCAACGAAGCGTGAGTGTTCAAGGTCGTTGGTCGTTTTCGAATAACATATTCACTGCTAATTGCAATATGAAGTCAGCTTTTAAAAATTTCAATGAATAAAGTTTTCATCTTTTTTGATTATCTTAAATACTTCATCATGAGCTGACATTGGTTAGAGAACCATTGGAAAACCTGCAGGGAGTACTGTTTCCTCGGTCCTAGTTTGGGACTCTTCGTCAGTACGCACCCACCGGCAGGTTTCGAACTCATGACCTCCTGGTGACAAGGTGAGTTCGCTCGTCTACCGATCCAATGGCTGCTGCTAAATAGTCCCAAACTAGGACAAAACGGCTGTCCAGTTCTCCCTGCAGGTTTTCCAATGGCTGTCTAACTAATGCCAGCTCATGATGAAATCCTGTAGCCAATCAACCAAATCCCTACAAACCAACACCTGAATATCTTAAATATGATTAGTTAATCCCGGAGATTTCTCCTCTCTTGTATTGACCATTTGTGTATCGAATATTTGACCTTTCAGCATTCCATTCATTCCTAACTGAATATGTAGATTATCAAGCTTTTGAAGTTGATGTTACCGGGTGGAATTTTCGGTCTCATGTGCAACCTTCCCCTTATTGTGGACTTACTACTACCCCGGCTTGTACACAAGCCGAAATGAGTTGACCCGGAATTGAACACTGAATACCTGTGTAGCTGAAGAACATTTCATCATTGAATCACCTATGCATCAATAAAGGTACTGAACTCAGTTTTCATCATTCAAAAAAAAGAAGAAAAACAATTAAACTTGACCAATATTTTTAGTTTTTTCGAGGGGGTGGGGTGGAATCAGTTTGATTTAGTTAGCGTCTTAGTGTTCGCAAGTGTTTCGCCAAAGGAATCTGTGAATGGCTTCACCTTCGTATTCAACCTAATGGTCAGCTTTGATAACACAGAAAGCCGTTTCTGAGAAAATGACTCCTTACCTTCACAGATTTGCAACAAGAATTTAGAAAATTATTTGTTCATATCCTCAGAAACGATTGGATCACAACTGATCGGCGTAACTGCCACCCAGTTAATAGGTTAAGTGGCGTCTGTAGTTTGATTTCTCGCCAACTGACTCTAAATGATACCTAGTTTATTAGTCGATATTAAGTGTGTATAAGAGGAATGGTTGTATGTGAGGCTAGGAAACCCAACCTCTAAAGTGATTAACACCACTGTTACTGAAATAGTAAAGTTCTAGTTTCCACTCGGAACGCAAAGGAGTGAGTAATAGTAATATAACGCACGATTCCGTAAATCAAATTACAAGTGACAGAAAAATGTCATATTTAACCCTGCTTGCATTTTAAAGTGTACTTTTAACAGCCATAATTATTTATGTACAAAGGCCATCAGCTGTTTCAGTTCACTCTAATTCCCATTGTTTGTAAAACTGTTTAGAAAAGTAACCTTACAATTATGCTATCTTAGAATGCGCTTCATGACACGATTTCATGGTTGCTTCTCCCTTTTTTAAGTACACTCACAAATATATATATAAATATATATATATATGTACCGACGCAGATAATACTCGAGTTCTTCCATCACATATTTCTGCTCTCAGCTTCTTACAACTTGTCTTCTTGGTGTCGTTTGTGTTGGCGTTATATTAACTAAGATTCACTAGTCAAATTTTCTGCTATTTTTCAACATCTCGAATCAATGTATATATATATATATATTCCCCTAGAGCTCTAACAACACATCTCCATTTTGTTCTGTTGTTCTACTGTCCTTTTCTACTGGGTTCACACTTACTCATGATCTCTCATTTCCTCCTCTCACTATCTGCTCCATGTCACCCTCGCCCCGACGACCCACTTGTCGCTTCGCATTGGGATTGCACTCGACCGAGGATCTGCTTTGCTTGCGATGTTATTCGAGATGGCCTCCTCAACGTATGTTCAATCCATTTCCATTTCATTCTCCTACATAATTGTAGAGCAACATTCTCTAGGTCGGTTTGTTCTCCGCCAGAGTTACTTGTTGCTAATTCGTAGGTGTTGATGAAAGTCTTAAGTGAATTCTTTTAAATAGTTTACATCATATTACCAATGAGAAGTTATTAATACTGGTAAATCAGTAGTACATGTTACTGAAATTCCTCTCTCTCTCTCTCTCTCTCTATATATATATATATATATATATATATATGCATTATTTCGTTTCTTCCTTTTTTCTTTTTTAAGGTATTAAATTACTGTCCAAAAGACATGAAAGCAGATTTATGCATTCATTTAAATCGTATGGTGTTCAATGAGCATCCAGCCTTTCGACTAGCCAGTGACGGGTGTTTAAGAGCACTAGCTGTTAACTTTAATACTATACACACAGCACCAGGGGATTTAATATTTCATCAAGGTGAAAGTATTGATCAATTATGCTTTGTTGTCTCTGGTTCACTTGAAGTAATTCAAGATGATGAAATTGTAGCATTTTTAGGTAAGTCTCACTACTGGTAATTATGTAATATTCAAGTACGGAGTGTTTAATTTTGGACCCACCCCCTCCCCCAATTCATAAATATGATATTTGAGACTAGACAGACAGCCTGTTGTCTAACACTGAGACATCAGTTCAAACTAAGTTCATTCATAATATCCTCACTCATGTAACTGCATATTACATGAACCATATACCATATTATCCAATTCATGAATTTACTAGTAGTTAAAATAGTTCCATCAGTATTCCGAAGTTACTGATTGAATATTAACATTCTCATCGGGACAGCCGAACCATTTTGCTTTTGTTTCTTCACTCAGTCAGGGATTTACACCATACTACTGAATCAAACAATAACAAGAGTCGTTATGCGTCGGTGGAACATCGGTAGAATGCTCATCACCGACGTATATGGTCTGGGATTCGATCCTCGGCCACCGACCCACTCCTTTACTTAGCTAAGCCAGCCACAAGACTGGCGAAGAGGGAAAGTTGAGCAAGAGACTAGCAACCTCATCCCGTAAAAATAAATACCACTGCCACTGAAACTTCAGAGCTCTAGCTTGAAGCCTTACGTTCCACTGAGAGCGTGAAGGAAAAAAAAAACAGTCGTTGTACAACAACTGTGACTGCTATGCAGATACAAGTGGTGGTAACAGGTGATGTCAGTGGTCTCATATGTTGCTGTAGTATTTACGGTAATGCCAGTTGTACCCAACACTCCTTATTTGTAAAAGACTTTCTTGAGTTTTGAGGTCATAATGGGAAAACATGCTAAATGGGTACTTGAAGAAGCAGTTTATGGCTACGTGTGTTATATCTTAGTAGACACTTGTGGTTTTGCCGTATTTCACATGAATGCCAGAAGACAAATGACTGGAAAATATTTTTTGAAATCTTAATAACTCACTGTTTTTTCTGGCGCTATTCTGGAAAGCAAATTACTGCAATCAACTCCAGCAAATGTCTTCACATTTTACGGGCACCATTATCAGAAAACTTTAGTGATATTATTCTAACTCATAAGTAGCTTATGAAATAGAATAAATGTTTTATAGCACTATATTATTTCAACTGCATTAATAAAGAATTATTGTAACACAGCCCGACACCATTTGGGTTTTTCATCTGGTTGTCGTTTGATTGCCTTGCTAGCCATTCATATAATATTTGTGTGGTGTAAAAGTGAAATTTATTCGCGTCAGTAGTCGATGATATCCGCGTGAATTCATAAAAGCATGAAGAATTTTTGAACCACCTATGGCCTGTAAGAATCGCTGAATAAAATACCATAAGGGATAATAACATAAACTGAAAGCATAGAATAACCAACAGTTGTCAAAATCAACAAATATGAACTGGTATAACTAATGGACTAAATTTACCAAAAGATTGACAAACTACTGAAATTAATTGCAAGTAGGCAAACTAAATTAACAAAACTGTTTTGACAGAAAGCAGCAAATGTTAATACAGAAGGGTTTAATGAATTCATCGAATTTCGGCAAAACTTATCATCTCGACAGTCTCAATACAGTGATATATTTATATATAACTACACACCACTGACTGATTGAGATGAGTGGTTGTAAATCATTCATATCTATCAGTAGTATTTGCCAAGCAGATGTGATGGGGATGTGAACACCGGGTGGTCGTACCGCTCATTGGAAATCGGGTGGTTTGGATTGATTCGCTTATGGAGATGAGTTAGTTTAGATCGAGTCAATCTGTTTAGGAAGAACCATCGATCGATATGAATGATGTATGTTTGCTTATCTCAAATATGTTTCACTTTTCGATCACCATTTGGGGTATTAAGCGGATCACATACTGTGATAGGAATAACTTGGTTTCGAAAGGAACCTACAGTTGCATTTAACCAATCGAACTGTGTACATTGAAAATTTGTCAGCAATCTGCTAATTGTGAATTTGATTATGTGATATATATATACTTTAATTGGACATTGGTAACTAGTTTGATGTATCCAGTCGCTTCCTTTGGTGCGGACTGAATTCTATCAGTTAGGTTTGGAATATGGCCACCATTCTAGGTAGCTTGCTATCACAGCGCACATTGATTTGATGATATTATATAGTTGGAGGCGATCGGCAGGAAGCCTGCCACCTAGATTTTGTGCTAGTTGACACTCACCAGTCAGTAAGACTTATCTACTACCTTCAATGAATTCATGTCTCCTCTGAAATTCGAACTCACATCACCCAGTGCTGCAATCAGAAACGTTACCACTCAGCTATTCGAGTTCGTGTTTGACCTCCTTCCTGTAGGACTGTGTAGGATACTTAGATTGGAGACTAGTAACTGCAGGAGGTCAAACACGAACTCGAATAGCTGAGTGGTAACGTTTCTGATTGCAGCACTAGGTGATGAGAGTTCGAATTTCAGAGGAGACATGAATTCATTGAAGGTAGTAGATAAGCCTTACTGACTGGTGAGTGCCAACTAGCACAAAATCTAGGTGGAAGGCTTCCTGCCGTTTGCCTCCAACCACCCGGAAATAGACTGGCAGATTTATGACTAACAAGAAAACAGACCACCAAGAAACACAGAACGAAGATTTCATCAGAAAAAGCTGTCTTTTCGACGATTTCATTTTCTTAGTTGTACAGTCATACAGTGAATAAATCATTCCAAATGACAGGCGAGAATATTTCACAGATCAGCTTCACATAGACCAGAAGGAAGGCGTATAAGGGATTAAAATTACGATTTTTACTGAATTACTGTTCATTTTTTATATGGCCCTTCATCCTGTACACATAAATTCCTCTACCCCTTGTCATTATACTTGTATTAAATAACCATCTGTTTTCCTATGTAAACTTAGTGGTTAACTTATGCATTGACACACATGCTAAGCACATAAAATGCTGCCGCGAAATTCTTCCTCTCGCCTTCCGTCCTTGACATGATCATTCGCCCATCTGAAGTTTATAATCAACACGAAGAAGAATTTACTATGAACACGACTCATGAGAATTTATTACTGTGCATTCGTTTTCATTCATAATCACTTTACTTTGTAATATTGGTGTTCAATTTAGTAGTACAATTTTACATATTTTGGACTATAATCTAATAACATTCTGGTTGCAGATAACTTTTGAAATTCTGATCTAAATGATTCGATGTTACTCTCCTTTTAAAATTCACTAATGTTGTCAATAACAGTCATTCTTTCATTATAATGGATACATATAACTGTAGAACCTGATGATGAAGTTATAGAAAAGAATATTCTTTTTTCCGATAATAAGTCTTTTGAAATTTCCAATGGAAATCTTTAATCTGTATCAAGAACTGCAAACTGGACAATAATAGTAATGGAACGAGTTTGCGATATGGTGCTTATAAAAGCCTCTACAAATGCCTAAATCTTTCTCTTTGTTTGCCCATTGACAACAGTGAATAACTCGACGGCATCATTTTCATATCTCAAGTCTATAGGATGCTGTGTTATTGAAATTTTTGTTACCATGACTTTAGTGTTGTTAAACCGCTTAGACGAATGTTCCACTACACATGCGAGTAGATAATCGCACTTCCGTACGACCTATGTATTTGCCTTAGCTGATAAAATTCTTGTAAATCAGAAACACCAAGTAGTTCATAAGGCTTTAGAATGTTCAACATTGTTTATAAAAATTGACAAGGCTGAAGTTATGTGCAGTTAGAGTCTAATCTCTGCAAAAATAAAATGAGCAACACTGAGAAGCATCAATAGCAAGAAGATGAACAAAATTGCAGGTACACAGACGGCGAGTTAACCTCCCTGATATCACGATAATAATTAGTAATACATACTAGTTCACGATTATATTTTTCATGAAGAGATTATACCTGTGTGACTACTTCAACTTTATACAGCTCTTAAAAGTGAATTACTTCTAATTATTCAATGCAAAAACTGGCGTGGAACTATGCTCCTGCCCATCCCAAGCAAAATACTAAGCCTCATCATCCTGGAGAGAATCAAACAAGCCCTGGATGCAAAACTCCGACCAGAACGAGCTGGATTCAGGAGAAACAAGTCAGGTATTGATCATATGGCCTCTCTACGAATCATCATTGAAAAAAGCTTGGAATGGAAGTCACCTCTCTATCTCAACTTCATCGACTTTGAAAAGGCGTTCAGCAGATAGCGTCGATCGAGAGGTCATTTGGCAACAACTTCGCTACTACGAGGTTTCATCGACAATTATACATCTCATCCAACAGTTTTACGACAATGCTGCATGCCAAATAATCTACAACGGGGAGCTTACGGAATCCTTCGAAGTGAGGACAGGAGTGAGGCAAGGCTGTCTACTATCACCAATGATCTTCCTGATTGAAGTAGATTGGGTAATGCGACAGACAACGGCAACCAACGAGGGAACAGGCATAAAATGGACTCACACAAACAGAGACTTGGAGGATCTGGACTTCGCCGATGATATATGTCTGATTTCCCACAAACTGGAAGATATGCAAGTGAAAAGCAACAAGCTGGAAGAAGAAGCATCCAGAGAAGATAGGACTTCAGGTGAACATAGATAAAACAGAGGTGATGAAGATTCCTGGGTAACACCAACACCAACAGCAACAACAACAACAGACGACAGTCAGTCAGCATAAATGGGAGGAACCTGAAAGAAACAACCTCCTTCACCCACCGACCCACCTGCCTGGGAAGCATCGTTTCAACTACAGGCGGGCGGAACTGACGAGGATATCAAAGCCAGAATCGGAAAAGCAAGACAGGCTTTCATTACCCTTAGGTCTGTATGGAGGTCAACAGCACTCAGAATCAAAAATAAGATCCGGATTTTCAACTCCAATGTAAAGTCAGTGCTTCTATACGGATCAGAGACTTGGCGAGTCATAAAGAGCATCTCAAACAAACTTCAGACCTTCACCAATACTCAAGATCAGATGGCCAGAAAAGATCAGCAACAGGGATCTCTGGGAGCGAACCAATCAGGAACCGATTGTGAAACAAATAGGCAGAAAGAGATGGAGATGGCTTGGTCATACTCTGAGGAAACCATCAAGTGAGTGACATCACTAGACAAGTCATTGCTCGGGTGGAACCCGAAAGGGAGGCGACGAGTTGGTCGTCAGTGCAAGGGTGACTTGGAGGAGGTCATGTTGGGAGGAGATGAAAGCATGTGGGCAGACTTGGAGCGGGGTGAAAAAGTTGGCAGAAAACAGAAGGCAATGGAGGTGCGCAGCTGAAGCCCTATGTTCCTCTAGGAATTAAAGGATATAATAATAATAATAATAATAAATTCATATGAAAGCCTGATGGTTTATTGGTATAGACATTAACAAAATGAAACAATTAGCCCCTTTGATAAATTTGAATAAGGCATTAAGAAGACAAATTTCGCGAAATGATATCATTTCGTAGTTTCTTTACAACCGCTTTACAACTAACATGGTTAACAATAATAAATAAAATAAAGGTCATGACAATTACTCAGTTAAATAATAAACAAAAGTACATACTAATGACCAATCATATTTAGATAGGTCATGTTATCCATGGTAGGCGAAGATTGAAGTCTATTGTTTTATTTCTGTACACACGGTTTAGGCTGTATGCGATTAATCCAAAGGGCTTCCATCACCTTCAATAACCCTGAATTAGAGTTATGTGAAATAATTGTGAAACAGTCATTAATATTGATTTTGTGACCTGACATTGTTAAGCGGTTTGCAATGGATGATGCTGGATTTCTATTCAGATTAATCGCATTGGGATTTTCTATATGATTTACTAGCCATTTTGGAACATGTTCTTCTCGACGACATGGGAACATTCTGTTGGTTCCACCTATATAAGTGTCACAGCAGCTTCAGATACAGTTTGAAGTAGAGTCCACAGAATTTCGTCCTTTAATCGTAGGTACAGGGATCGAAAATGTTCGGCAAATGAAAAAAAGAGATGTGGCGGCGTAGAATATGCGTTTGATGGCTGACCGAAGTCTTTGAGCTAGCTTTCAACTGCATAATCTGGTCGCCCTTGAATGGTAGGTTAATAGAGATAGCTCTTTTTGATACAGAAGCTGTCGTTTCTAGATGTGATCTATCCTTATTGTGACAAGTGATGAGGTTCGCTTGATAACCATTAGCTAATAAAACTGAATGTATATGTCGAAACTCACCCATCAGTGTGTAACTCGTGCATATTTTTCGAGCACTTGGGAACAAACATTTCACTAGGGAACGTTTATACTGGATAGGAACAAAACTGGTAAAGTGAAGATATTGTCCACTCCATGTCTGTTTACGAAAAATAGATCGTTGAATAGTTCCATCATCTCTACTAGTCATTATTAATATCCAGGAAACCGAGTTTGTTATTCGATTCGAGTTCGGAAGTCACTCGGATATTTAGATGTATATGATTGAATAGGGTAATAAAGTTTTCAATAGGTTTACTATTATTACCAATAATGAGAGTATCATCTACATAACGTTTATATAGCATAAATTCTCCAAGCATACCTTGCATTTGTTTCTGCAATTTCGAAATGAAAATATCTGGAAACAAGATGATAGAAGTTACATCGAAGATTGACTGTCTGCTATATTAATGCATATCGCCCACAAGCATAAAGGTAGTTCATCAAAATCGATTCGAAATACACCTGCTGCTGAAGTAAGAAAGTGTGTCAACAAGTCAAAGAAATAACAGGTTTTTGTCCATCACTTGACTAATCTATGTTTAGATAAACGGGTTGTACTCCCGCACGTTAAGTCAACTCCTTTGTTATCCTTCTTTCAAAATTGTTTGCATATTCTGACTGATATGTTTATTTGTTATTTCACTGCATAATTTATGTTTATTCACTTCAATTTTGTACAACCCTTTCTAATTTTCAAGGTCGTGGTGATGTATTTGGTGAACCATTCTGGAAAGATCCCAACAGTATGAGTCATTCGGCGGCTACAGTCCGTGCACTCACCTACTGTGATTTACATTGTATTAAAAAAGATTGTTTACTACAAGTATTAAAGTTCTACTCGGCATTTGCAAACAGTTTTGCGCGTAATTTAGTGCTCACATATGATTTAAAAACACGGGTAAGTAAAAACCGAGATTATTATTATCACTATTATTATTATGATGATGATTGTTCCCTCGATTTCGCAGTGGAACACAGGGCTTCGACATTACGCCTCCAGCTTATCCTTTACTGTGTGATCCTCCTCAGCCGGCACCACGATTTCTCATAAACTGTCATCTCCTCAAACAATCTCCTCCATACCAGTCTCGGATACTCTTCCATCTCGTCGTATCCCACCCGAGCGATGGCCTGGCATGTGATACCTGTCATCCAGTGTTCTCAAAGTGTGTTCCATCAATCTCCATTTTCTTTGGAGTATTTGTTGAGTAATAGATTACCGCTTGTTGGTTCGCTCGTAGAGTTTCTTGTTGCTAATTTTTTCTAATCGGCCATCTGATATTCAATATATGGAATCAATGAAGGCAGCTGTTGATAAAAACAAACTGCACTGGCGTTTTATAGACGCTTTTGGTGATGTGCTCACCGAGTTTCTAACCTACGTAGAAGCAGTGATTGACTTGACTTTGGTGTTGGAAATCCGAATTTAATTTTTTTTGGCTAAGGCAGAACGCTGAATATCTCAAAACTGATTTCAAAACGAAAATTAACACTGGCAGGACTGTCTTCTCCGACCAACTTCCTTTTTTGTAAATTGACGCTTTTTCGTTCTAAAGGCTACAGTAAAGTTATGAAGTTAGATAACTATGAGCTGGAGTTTTATTAGTTTAAACCGACTGCCTTCACTACTGCCTCATTTGATAAAACGTGGTTGTTCATTAATCCTTATACGGGATGGGCGTGTGGGAAAAAATCTGTCTTCATGCAACTATGTCTGTTATCACTTACCGACTACGTTTTCAATTTGGTAACTGTTATGTACTCGTCGCCAAATTATTGTTATGTACTGGTCGAGAAACTAATAGTCCTGACGCAAGAAGGCGGAAATCAGAAGACCACTAGGTTTGAGATGATACTTCTATTTTCTAAACACAAGGAGAATGCAATAAGTGGTATCACATCAAAGTAAGTGGACACACAAGATTGTGTGAGTGAAATATATATAAATGTCCAGACAAGTGTGTGAACAAATCAATGGACAGCCTTAACATGAATGGCTAATTATAATGAAGTATCGATCCATATATACATGGCAAAATATAGCAGACATGTCAACAACCACACATATAATATGGATATCTGTCACCAAGCAACGGACTGTCAACAAACACTCATATTATATATAATATAAGGGGAATATACATTGTTAAAGGAGACAAGTTCATACAAGTGAAATGGTCACAGACTAAGCGAGCAACCAGAAAGAGAGATCACCATACACACACATATATATATATATATGTGGATACATATCAGTAACATTATTTTATTTAAGTTGACTGACTGAACCCAAATGTCTGGATTCTGTTGACATGTACACTGATATTATTTGATGGGTAGATGGTGACTAGCAATGGAATCCAGGATACGTATTTCATCTGATTTGGTGCACCTCCAATCTCCAGTGACTGATGGTAATCTCACTGAAACTCGAAAGGCAAAAATATCAGTTCATTTTGACAGAAGCAGAAATAACTGAAACAAATCGACTTAAACAAAGTAGTGACTTGTTACTGTTGGACAAGAGGTGCTTGTGGTAGCCTGAGAGGTCTAGATGATGACTCTATGGCGTTTGAAACCAGGGGTAACTGATGGTTGCAGGTACACCCAGATAACGTGTTCCAAACGGACAAAGTTCTAGTCTTGGATTCTCGCTTTGCAGCACTAATTCTACAGGAAGTTAGATCAGGAAGTAACACTGAACACTACTCCAAAACAGTTTCGTCCCAGTTTTGAACTTTTAAGCGGTATGCATCTACCACTTCATCAGGTCTCGAACTTGGGATATCGAGGTTCCAAGGCCATCCTATTTACAATTCAGTCACCTGGTTAGATAGGATTTGATGACCTTAGAATTATAACTTCTGCCAGTTCATGATGAACACCAGCATCGCTAGCTAGTGTTATCGGCTAGCAGGTATCCTCACAGCTAATTTTTTGAACTCTGCTGGTCACTACTAACCAATAAGTGAAAACTAGTTCTGTAAATAAGGGACGTTGGAATCAGTTTTAGCCAAAAAAGAGTACACATTTTCAATTGTCAAGTGAATATAACAGTTTTTTTCTATTCCTTCACGTTCTCAGTGGATCATAGGGGTTCAAGCTAGAGGCTTGAAGTTTCTGCAGCAGTGGTGATTATTTTTACAGGGTGGGGTTGCTAGCCTCACGCCCAACCTTCTCGCTTTACCAGTCTTATTAGTGGCTTAGTGAGGTAACGGACCAGGGACCGAACCCTGGACCACCTACGTGGTCGGCGAGCACTCTACCGCTGCGCCACAGACGCATATAACAGTTTTTACTATTTTGTCAAGTGTGATTCGTTCATTTTTTCTCATAGATTATTTAGTAATATTTTGATTGTTGTTCAAAAAGTATAAAAGAATAAACTCATGAAAAGCGCGATTTAAATATGATGGTATTATGATGCATGCATTTCAATTTATCAGTGGACAGCTGAGTATGCATGTTTTTCCTAATGATGACGGCTAAGCTTTTAGTAACCAAAACTGACTCGTTTTGATTGCAACTCAGGGAACCGATCTTTACATCCTACTGTGTATTGAGCTTTCCAAAACTTCTGCGAGATATATGCAGGCAGTTGCTTCGTCCTAGTTTGGGACTCTCCAGCAGTGCACACCCACCGCACTCAGGACCTTCCAATCACAAGGTGAGCTAGCTCGTAGACCATTGAGCCACTGGGACCCGGTCCAATGGCCAGTCCAAGAATTCTAACTCCTGCCAATTCACGATATAGCGCAACTACTTCGCAATATCTTTTTCAACATTTTTTCTGCCTCATCCTCAAACTGCTGTACTCTACTGGTCACGGCTACCCACTAGAACCCCAGGTCGCTGCGTGAATAGGGCCAGTCGCTAGTGAGCATCAGATTAATTTTCAAGTATTCGTTTTATAGGGATTTTGTTTGATTGGATGGAGGATTGCATCATGAGCTGACATCAGTTAGAAGACATTGCGAAATGGTCGCACTATGTTGTGATTTGGCAGAAGTTAGAATTCATAGACCATTGGATTAGATCCCAGTGGCTCAATGGTCTACGAACTCGCCTTGTAACCAGAAAGTCCTGGGTTCGAGCCCTGGCGTTGTGTGCACACTGTTGGGGAGTCTCATACTGGGACGAAACAGCTGTCCAGCAGTCCCATATTTTCCGGTGGTTTTCTAACTGATGTCGGCTCATAAGGAAGTCCTCCATCCAGTCAAACAAGATCCCTTCAAAACCAATAATTGAAAAAACAGTAATAATATCAAAAATTCAAAATAATCTGAATAGTGTCGTTAAACAGCTATACAGTCCAGGTTATTTCCCAATTACAAAAGGAGTACTTAGAAGCGAACAGAATATTCCTAACAGAGTTGGATTATAAACACTTTCCACAATAATCAAACACCAATACTTCCCTAACACTGTCCAAGGTCAGAATGACCTTGACTGAGTCAAATAAACTAGCAACGTAAAGCAACACATTATCAACAGTTTTCGGGTGCAGGACCTTGACATCTTTAACACGCATATATAACATATAATTTCAAAAAATGAATTCCTGTGCAATTGTAGAAGTTCTCAGGGTAAATGTAACTTGAAACAGAGTGTTTCTAAAAAGAAAAGTCACTAATCCCTGAGTTTTAGCGGGGCTAAACATCAATGACTGACCATACAAGCTATGGAATTTCCCAAGTTTATAAAAATGATAGCTGAAAAGGAAGCTAATCAAGCCAATAATATCTTGATAATTAAAATAAGCCAGAATATTTCATGCTATCAAATAGGCTTGTTGTAAAGGTTCTTCTTCATTTAACCTTCATTTTTTGGTGTTTTCCTGTCTATATTTCAGCTTATTTTTCGTAAACTTGCTGATGTCAGAAGGAATATGAACTGGCTGAACATCGTAAAGCAGACAACGCTCTGTCTAGTTTACGTGCAGACCATCCCGTCAGACGGATGATACACAAATTCCGTCGGATAGGCACACATAATCAGTCGACAAATGATTCTCCAGTCGGTAGTGGTGGTGGTGGTGGCGGTGGAGGTGGAAGTGGTATTGGCGGTCTAACTGACAGTGAAATAATGCGTATAAGTCGGAAATCAATAACACTAGGCGATTATGATGATTTCGGCAAGGAATTCGATTTCACTGTTAAAAGTGAAGATAAACAAAGAAGTCATAGTAAAGAAGGAGAAAGTCCAAGTTCGTCAACTGGCAATAGTAATAACAATAATACAACAGTCACTACTACTAATAATAATAGTAACAATAATAATAATAACAATAACAACAATAGTAATGCGGTAAGTGCATTGGATGAAATCGCCTCTAGATGGGGTAAACGTATGGAGTTGAAAGGCGGCAATAAGACAAATAATTCCACGTCTATTCAACAATCGAATCCAACTACTAATAAGGATTCAACAAATAACGAGAATAATAGTTATACGCCTACTGCTACTAGCAGTAGCAGTAACACTAATACAACTACATCAAAGTCATTGTTACAATCCAAATGGGGCAGTCTAATGAAATCATCAACAATCCAAGAAGAACAGGATCAACAGCATCAAAATAAATCAAAACGTGTATCCAATGCTACTACTACTACTACTACTGCTACTGTAGCGGTGAAAAAACGAAGTATTCAAGTGGCAGACGTAGGAGAAGACAAAGAGGAGGAGAATTTAGGCATAAAAAAGTCACTCTTGGAGAATCAATCAAAAATGATAGAAGAACGCTTTAGAAAACTGGAGTTATCCAATGATACAATATTAGAATGTTTAATAAAAATGCAAGATGAATTAAAATCAGAATTAGGCAATTTAATGAATCGTATGAACAGTATTGATGATAGAGTAGCTCAACTGGTTTCAACTATTGAAAGTAGGACTGCACAAGATGATGAAATTCGTCAAGAATTTAGGCATTCTCAACAGAAACAACAACAGCAGCAACAACAACAACAAGATAAGTTACAGAATCAAAAAAGTCAAAGTACAAAATTTCCTAAAACGATATTCACACCGCCATCATTATCGTCAACTACTGCCACTGCCAGTGCTGCTGCTTCTGAGTCACCTACCTCTTTAAAATCCCGCCGCACTTCCAATCTAACTAATTCGAACAAAATTCATCCATTAGAATATTCGATCGATTCGAAATTCAGTCACCACCACCATCCCCACCATCAACAACAACAACAACAGCAACAACAACATCTGGATAGGCGATTAAAACAAGGCGTTTCACATGGATCCTACCAACAAAGTAAAGTTGAAAGAGATTTGTTTAATTTGAATAAAATCGATGCGTATGGTACACAGTCACGGCGTAGTCCACCAAGACAACGTATATCACAATTCTATAAACAGTATTCAGGTGAAACAGACAGTCAATTAGAGCCTTTATCAACTGAAAGTGAATCATCACTTCAGTCGAATGAACAAATCAGTATGCATAATCTTCCTTCACAGATTATCTCTCCCAGATATAAACACACACCTCATTATCAGATGCATCCATCTATACCATCAACTAATTTCTGTTCTGTTTCACTGCCAACATCAATTACTGAAATGAAGAGTACACGATCATCTGTGCCCACAGAATACAGATTATCTTTACCATCAGGGGATAGTGAGAATTTTTTATTTCAAACACTTCATTCACCACAAGTTGATTTCAGTGTTGAAACACACTCTTGTCGAAATCCTTTTATTTCAAATGTTAGTGTGTCTGCTGAAAATGTTTCCACGCATGTTACATGTCATAGTGTAACAACAAGTTCACAAGCATTAAAATTTCCACGCTTAGTTGTCTCAGAAAGTCTGTTACACCAACCATCGAGTAATATGTTGGTTACTCCGTCTGGAAGGACAACACTCTTCTCAGATACAAATCTATTCTCACCTACTACCACTGTGCCTAATTCGTATATTACTACTACTACTACAGATAACTATCAGACGTTTGTAAATCCATGGAATCTTATTGACAGTCTATCATTGTCAGATACAATGTCCACTGAGCCAACAAGATTATTTGTACCAGACTCTTCAATAGTGACAACAACAACAACGACAACAACAATAACATCAATACCATCAATATCATCTGGTCAACATCCGACCATTTCACAGCACACACCATCTGCATTCACCCACAGAACTACAACAACGCCTACTAGCACTACTAATAGTAATAATAATAATAATAACAACAGTACTAAACAGCGCACTTCTAGGGATTTCACTCTGACTAAACAATAAATATATTTTTGTGTTGTTCTTTTTTTTTTATTATCCACTGCCCTGTTCCTTCTCCAACCCCTTCCTTTACCAACTATTCAAAACTTCCATGTAATAATGAAGCGTCAAATTAGTCACAGAACAGAAGTGCATATAAATACATTAATATCATTTGTTTAACATTCAACGCACACGCACACACACACACACATACACACACATATACTCACATAACATTCATCCAATCATCCCTATATGACGATAATAATAACAATATCTTTCAAAATACAATGTGAATGAATGTCAATAAATAGGTGTACAAACTGTCATGCAAATAAAACAAAAAGGTTAATTAATCTAGAGAGCAAATTTTTTGAACAGAGGACCATCTCGACGATTTTATTAGGATCCTGTGTTTCACACAAGCTAGAGAGACAGAGGAACAACAGCAACAGCAACAACAACCACAAAAGAGTACAGATAATAAAATAAAATATCGAAATTGTACATAATTATCTAGTGAAATTTTATTTTAAATCTTAAAAAAAATATTTGAAATCTTATTGATGACTTTTGTAAAGTTATATAGCTACTACTACTACTACTACTACTACTACTACTACTACTACTACTACTTCTATAACTGAAGATGGATTGAGTGATTTCCAGAGTTATTTGCCGATGACAGATCTTGCCATTCTCACAGAAACAGTGTCTCATATAGGTTTCCAGTGGAACATAGGGCTTCAAGCTAGAGGCTGTGGTGATTATTTTTACAGGATGGAGTTGCTAGGCTCATGTCCAACCTTCTCGCTTTACCAGTCTTATTAGTGGCTTAGGGAGAGGTAAAGGAGTGGGTCGGTTGCTGGGGATCGATCGAACCCCGGATCATGTGCATGGTCGGTGAGCGTCCTAGTCACTGTGCCACCGATGCACTGTATAGCTTGTAATACATTATAAACGGCTAATTCATGTATAATTGTACTGTACACTGTTGATTCTCGTAAGCAGTTGGAAATTGTTCAAGTCAATCATCACAGGAGTGCTTGTTAGTCAAATGGAGAAGGTTGTAACACAAGAGGGCTTTTAAAGTCTTAGCCCATTAGTGAGTGCGCTCTTACTTCAGCTGACAAATTTCAACCGGGTTTCTTTTAGGGAACACGATATTCAGTGTAGCATACAGACTCATTTCAACGAGCTTTACTTTCGTACACATACACGTACATGTATATAGTTTTTAAGAAACCATATATCCTGTGGTAATAGTGTTAAATGCGTTAAGAATGTTTGCAGTTATAATCATAGTTCATTGTCAAGTGACACAATAAATAATTTCATGCATAGAATAGTTCGAATAAATATATGAATGTTGGCAAGTCATGTAAGCATAATAGGATTAGTGAACGATTACAACATTAAGTAACCTGATGCGAAATTTGATAAGATATAATTTAACATTGCGTAGCAACTTTGCATTTAAAATAAAAAATGCGAGCGACGAAAAGGAATAATACATCCATCAGTTCAAGGTGAAAATAGGAAAAAGACGAATCGTAGTAATGTGGAAAAGGTGCATAGATCAAATAAACAAAATGGAAAATAAATATACTAAGAAATGAAAAGGGGTTCAGTGAAGAATTGCTCTTTTCAGCAATGTCATTCTCCAGCTATGCAATCGCATATATATATATATATATATATATATATATATATATATATATATATATATATATATATACGTACAGTAAGTTCTCCTAGAGACAAAACGAATATTCATTATACCTGTAAATTTTAGATAGAAAATTACGTAACGCCGAAAGCGTAAATGAGCTAGACATTGAAATAAAATCAGGCAAATGAAGTGACGTAATACAACCGACGTGAATGAGTACAATTCAACTAAAAAAATTTGAATGAGAGTCAAGTTAACTACAGGGGTAATAACCGGGGGAAAATTTAATAGGGGGTGGGTGCGGGGGAGAAAATAATGCAGATAGGAAGGAAAAACAAAAATTACGTATTCGGTGTTAAGATAGATGGGGCTCATTGTAAATTTAATGGCTTTCACACCAAGACTATATGGCTCGCCTAAAGTGCACAAAGATGGTGTACCGCTTCGACCAGTATTAGATATGTTAAATTCGCCATACCATCCTGTAGCCAAATGGTTAGTTGAACTCGTACAGCCGCTTCATACCGAGTTGGTGAAACACAGTGTAAAGGATACTTTCGGATTTGTGGAAAGGATAAAGGATTTAAATGTTGACAATAAATTCATGATATCATTTGACGTTTCTTCCTTATTCACCAATGTACCACTTATGGAAACAGCGGACTTTGTATGCGAAGAACTCAAAAGACGAAACACCGATGTTGGCATTCCTATATCTTTTATGAAAGAGCTTCTCTTGAAATGTACAATGAATGTTCACTTTTTACTTAATAAGGAACTATATAGACAAATTGACGGTGTGGCAATGGGGTCACCACTAGGGCTTATTCTAGCCAACATTTTCCTTGCGAAACTAGAAAATGGGCCTCTGAAGGATGTCATTGGTGAACTTGAATTTTATTGTCGGTGCATGGATGATACTTTTTTGATTATGAAAAACGAGAAGGAAGCAAAGAGCATCCTGTTGAGACTATCGACTTCATGTGTAAAGAAGCTGAAGACATACCCATTCCAACATCGGAATTGAGGAAATTACTACTTTTATGTACTAAAAATGTCCAATTCCAATTCAACGGGCGTCTATTCCGTCAAGTTGATGGTGTCGCAATGGGAAGCCCTTTGGGACCACTTTTCGCCGACTTATTCTTGTCACGCCTAGAAACCGGTGCTTTGCAGCAGCACATACAAGAAACAAATGTATACCTAAGATATGTTGATGACATTTTTATTGTCTGTGAAAGCAGATCAAAAGCGGAAGACATGTTGATAAAATTCAATTCATGCCATCCGAATCTCAATTTCACAGTAGAACACGAGGAAAACAATACTATGAAATTCCTAGACGTTTTTCTAGCCAAAATGAATGATGGCACAATCGAAAGATCTATATTTAGAAAGTCTTCATGGACAGGACAGTACATGCATTTCAAGAGCTTTGTCCCAATCCAGTACAAAAAGAACCTAGTCAGAACACTGTTCAATAGAGCACGGAAAATTTGTTCTGACAGTACTATTGAACAGGAAATAAAATCTCTGAAGGATATTTTATCTAAGAATGGATATCCTGAGAAGTTCATTAATAAATACTCCAAAGAAACTACCCCCCGCAAAACAATTCAAACAGTTCCAAAGAAACCTGTTTATATCAATTTACCGTTCAAAGGAGATGACGTACAAGAAGTAGTGAAACGAAGACTCGACAAAGCCATCAAGAGAACTTATTATGCTGCAAAACTTGTTATCCTTAACACCACCAAGCGAGTGCTTCAACAATCTGGGAAAGACCAGTCGCCAATCCTCGACACTTCAAACTGCATATATCAATTTGAGTGTGTTTGTGGCAGCAAATACATAGGTCGTACGGAAAGGCGATTGTCTACTCGCATGATGGAGCATTTGCCAAAATGGTTGAAAACAGCTGAGTTCAAAGTGCCAAAATCCTCAATAACAAAACATCTTGTAGATTACGGACATGATATCGACGCAGTCAAGTCATTTACCATTGTCAGCAAACAAAGAAACAAGAAGATGCTTGCAATTGCAGAGGCTTGTGCAATTCGAATTTATAAACCAGCTCTCTGTATACAAAAGGAGATGGTCGTAACTCTTAATCTACCATGGTAATACGTTTTATTCTCTACTTGTTATTATTCTACCTCTTCTTCTTCTTACTATTATTGTTATTATTATTACCATTATTCTTGATTCATCTAAAACTATGCTTTATCAGTAAGATTATCTTAACTCACTTCAACACTATTAAAACTGTTATTATAACTATTACTATTGATATTAGTCTGTTTGCAATTCTCCTTATATTCCCTAGTGACTAATTGTTTATCTAAGTGATGCAATTGAAGCGTAATGCCATTTATCTTAATTTTGATCTCTCACACTCTCTCTCCCCTTATCTATTTGAACATGACCTGGAAAATATTCGCACCTGTCTCTCTGCATGATTAATTCAATGTAGTTTGTTTACTTATCAGTCTTATATCTCCCAATGTAATTTCAAAAGTATATATATTCGTGTATGTAGAGTATTCAACTTATCAGTCTTATATCTCCCAATGTAATTTCAAAAGTATATATATCCGTGTATGTAGAGTATTCAGCTGACGAGTTCTACCGAAATTTGATGAATTCATTAAATCCTGCTTTATTAACCTTTATTGCTTGTTTTAAATTCGTATCGGGAAATAAATGTTTTCAATTTATTTTGTCATCAAATTAAGACAATCATCTGACCCAATTAGTCTGATCGGATTTGTAATCAGATAATCAAAATATCAGTGAACAAAGTCACATATAGAATAATCCCAATTAAATTGCTCACTGGATTCAGTTCACACGCACGCACGCACACACACACACACACACACACACACACACAGCGTCTACGATAACACATACGAAGGATAGATCAGTCTGAAAATTATCCTGGACACATAATCCGTTTGTCAGCTTTCAAAATGAAAGTCTGCGTACCAAAATAGCCTATTCAGTCCATCTCTCATTCCACACTGAATTGTATTCATCATTTATGTGCACATCTTGGAGGAAATGTATTCAGCATTATGCACCTCAGTAACATGATTACCTAGATAGATAAGTTGTAACAACAGAAGACAAGGACCAGGCAACAGATCGTTTATTAAGGAAATACACACGTATTTATATATATTTCATGTACATTATTATAGCTTATTTATTCAGAAAAAAACACAGTCTTCTGACTGGTTGTTTCTTGCTCAAGGTTATTCTGTCCTGCTTGTGTCTGGTTTCTCAGAAAGTTAAGCCATATATCTGCGAATCGTATTTACCCACGTCAAGTCTGCTCTGATTGGTTGTTGAATCAGTCTTGTTCATATTTCCTCACGGCCAATATTAGCCACATAGACATTGACGTAAATTAATGTCTACCGATTGGCTAGTAGTCTGCTCTCACCACAAAGTGATAACTGCTGATTATTAATGCAAATATCATCACTTCTCATGATAATCAAATATCTGTCTCATTGGTGTTAACTCTGTGCATCACAAACAATGTCCTAGAAAGCATATCAAACACATAGCCAATCAGTCTTGGAGAAAGAGTGAGAGGTTGAGAGGGACGGGGGGCGGAGGGAGACGGTATGATCCCGATCACGTGAGTGAATAAGTATAGATGACAGTTTATTCCATGTGACTTCAAATACAATAAATTCAGTTACCTGGATAGTAGCCTTTCTGTATGACCAGTAATTAACACAGTCAACATCTACTTCATACATCATTTCGACAACATCCACCACAAATGGATCCCTAATGAACAAAGCGAGTATTGAGTATCTAAAACTAGTCGAAATCCAGTCGAGTTGACTTTCCAAACTAAAGCTTAAGTGGGGTTGATTGGCGTATATATTCTGGTCATTTGTTCGATCTCAC